ATGGCATCCCAACGCTCGGGATAGTGGTGGCTTAGGGACACCCAGTGTCTGTTTTAGGGCAGACTGTCCCAATCAGCTTCAAACAGGAGAATGAGGGCATCAGGGGGATCCGAGCAAACAAGACCCGACTGTGACTTGAAACCAGTTCACAGTTGGCAGTCCTGGGTCTGAGAGGTGAGGAGACTCAGGGGGCAGGAGTGGGTTTTGAGAGGCAGAGACCTGCAAGCTCCTGCCAAAACGGGTAGACCGTCTCAGCACAAGCAGGCCAGGACATGGGAGAGTGGGCGACTCCTCACATCTGATTCAGTGTTCCCCAGGGCCCACACAGAGGGAGAGGCATACCCAGAAAACATGTGGATTTTAAAGAGACTGTTTAGGGGGGCTGCTTTTGGGTCCCCCAGCAACTCTCAGGTCTTCCTCCTGGCTCTGTGCTCAGGGCTCACTCCTGGTGGGACTCAGGGGTCCCTAAGGATCATTGGGGATCAAACTAGGATAGGCTGCATGAAAGACATGGTCCAGAACCTCGGTGTCATCTCTGAAATTCTAAGAGAATGAGAAGACAAGCCACATGCTGGGGGAGGGGAGCTTACCTATTAGTTCTCTCACTCATAAAGGCTTTGCCCCCAAACGTCCCAAGGGCTCTGGGAATGGAATGACAAGAAAGAGTCGTTGTGGGCCAGCAGCATGTGAGCACCACGAATGTCAACATCGCGGCTAGATGCAGGAACACGTGCAGCCCATCGTCTGACACTGGGGAGCCCTGCCAGGGTGGTCAGATCAGATTGAGGGCAGCAGCACTGGGCTCTGCTGTGGGCACAGCCCACTGCTGTAGGGGATACCAAGGGCAGTGGTCACTTTGGTGAAACCATTGGGAGATTTCTTTTCTGTGTGGGGGTTCTGGGGCCACTCCTGGTGATACTTGGCCCACTTGGGGGAACATCCAAATGCTAACACCCGGAGGAGACACTGTGACAGCGCCACGTGCAGGGGACCTGACTCCCAGGTGCTGGGACTTGGGGTGCTGTGCATACAAAGACGGCACCCCTGACCTCTGTGCTCTCTCCCCGGCCCTGAAAGAGTGAATTGCAGTTACTCAGCTTGCTTTTGCCAAGGAGAAAAGACAGCCGCAATCATGCAGAGATTGGGGTTCGGCTCCGGAGAGGTTCACCAGGAGCTCCTGGGTTTCCATGGCAGCAGGACAGATGGGGCCGTGCCCCCACAGTCGCACGCAGGAGCCCTGCGGAGCTTTGCTTCGTGAAAGAAGCCAGTTTACACAAGATGGTTGGTGAATATGAAGGTTCCAAGAAATGAAGTGAAGTGAGCGACTGTGGTGCCTGCCCATAGGGAGCAGGGGGCGCAGAGGGCGGACATGCTGGGTGAGGGGGAATTGCTGTGATAAAGCCATGGGAGCTAGGGCTGAGCAGTAGTACAGCGGGCATGGCACCAACCCGGGTTCAATCTCAGATGGTTCCGTAAGCACTGCCAGCAGTGATTCCTGAGTGCAGAACCAGGAGTGTTGCTGGGTGGCCCCCAAACCAAAAATAAAATAAAGCCATGTTGACTTAATGGAGTGACTGAGGGTAGATGGAGGTGATCTCCCCTCACTGACTGGCGTGATCTCCCCTCAGTAACTGGAGTGATCTCTCACTAACTGGGGTGATCTCCCCTCACTGACTGGGGTGATCTCCTCTCACTAACTGGGGTGATCTCCTCTCACTGACTGGCGTGATCTCCCCTCACTAACTGGAGTGATCTCTCACTAAGTGGGGTGATCTCCCCTCACTGACTGGGGTGACTGGTGTGATCTCTTCTCTCTAACTGGGGTGATCTCCCCTCACTAAATGGGGTGATCTCCTCTCACTGACTGGGGTGACCTCCCCTCACGGACTGGGATGACTGACATGATCTCCCCTCACTGACTGGGATGACTGGCATGATCTCCCCTCACTAAATGGGGTGATCTCCTCTCACTGACTGGGGTGATCTTCCCTCACTGACCGGGGTGATTTCCTCTTACTGACTGGAGTGATCTCCCCTCATTGACTGGCGTAATCTCCCCTTAGTGACCGGGGTGATCGTCCCTCACTGACTAGGGTGATCTTCCCTTACTAACTGGAGTGATCTCTCACTAACTGGGGTGATCTCCTCTCACTGACTGGGGTTACTGGTGTGATCTCTTCTCTCTAACTGGGTTGATCTCCTCTCACTGACTGGGGTGATCTCCTCTCACTGACTGGGGTGATCTCCCCTCACTGACTGGGGTGATCTCCCCTCACTAACTGGGGTGACTCGGGAGCACTGTGATGGGTACAATCTGATAAACCCATCAGATTGCACTGGAGCGATAGCACAGCGGGTAGGGCGTTCGCCTTACAAGCGGCCAACATGGCCGACCCGAGTTCGATTCCTCCGCCCCTCTCGGAGAGCCCGGCAAGCTACTGAGAGTATTCGATATGCCAGACACAGTAACAACAAAGTCTCCAATGGAGACGTTACTGGGCCCGCTCGAGCAAATCGACGATCAACGGGAGGGCCTTTACCTTTACCTTTACCTTTAATTGGGGTGATCTCTCACGGACTGGCGTGATCTCTTTGACTGGTGACTCAGATACCTGCTGTCAGGGCGGTGAGGAGCGCCAAACAATGGTCCCTCTGGGTGTGGGGACAGATGTGTGTGTCCCTGTCTCTGCTCAGTAGCGGATGGCTCTGCCTGGCTCCCCTATCCCTGGGGACACAGTTCAGAAAGTTTGGAGGCTGACTGCCACCTTCTGCTGTTTCCCAACAAAAGGACGGGCCAACCATCTGGGTCCCAACTATCCTGGTACCTTTACTGCAGGATGGGCAGGACTTTCTGAGAGGATGCAGAGCCTGTGGGAGCTCAGGGAAGGGCCAGCAGTGAAGGGGGGACCCGGAGACAGACTCGACCTTGGTGCATAGGTCACATAGTTGTGTCCACCCCTGGGAGCAGCTCGTCCATTTCCCTGGAAAGACATCCTCCCCCACACTGAGAGCACTGAATTTCCAGAAGCTTCTTTCTGGGCATGTGGATGGGATTTCTGTTTCCTTGCACATCCTAGTCCAGAATGATGACAAATTCTCCAGAAGGTTCTGTGACTCAAGGCAGGGTTCTGGAAGTGCCCTGGGAGCAACTTGTTCTTGGCATGAGATCTCAGGAAGCAAAGTATGCAGTGCTGGAGGGAGGCAGACACCAGGCTCCTGGTGCATCTGGGCTGGGCAGGGCGACCTTCCCTAGCTTCGAGGAGTAGCTGCCCATCCCCTCGGACTCCAGAAGTGACTTGCAGAAGTGTGCCTACATCCCCCACACAGAAGTGCCTCTCTGGCTCCCTGTCGGCGCTCAGTTGCCTGGCTACACTTCTCCTGATCCTTGCCAGAAAGATGCTGTTCTGAGATTCTGTGAGGGTGTGATTTCAGGGGGACGTGGGACATCTGTCCTCAGAGGTGTGGTTCCTTCTGTAGTTGAAGAATTGCACCCCCACCCCACCTGTGGTCTATGCCCTAGCACCCCCACAGCCTAGCTGGGCATGCAGTTAAGCCTTGTGCCAGGAGGGGGCTGCTGACATGGTGTCCTCTCTGCACCTGTCCCTGTGGGCATCCCAGGTGGCCAGGACGGGATGATTCTGGGTGAGGTGCCACCACTGTGGGGGCTCTGCTCTGGGAGGGGGCCAAGATCAGTGCCAGATGGAGCCACATGTCCTCATGCTAGTGGATTTGCCTCTGGGGATTTGGGGACTGGGCTTCCCTAGCAAAGGGGCATGAGGGCCACATCTGAGGGCGGGGTGTGAGGGGCACATGCGTATCAGGGCTCTGCCTGTCATTCTCTGGTGCCAGGCTGGCCGCTGGGGAGACAGATGCGCCAGTTACTGTCCACACAGGGACAGACTCCTCTGGAGACACATTATAGGGGCGCCTGGCAGCATTGACCTTCCAGGGTCCAGTCCGCCCTTTCCATGCTCCCGTGTGCTTTCCTCTTGAGAACCTCTGTGGCTGCCCTGCAGGAGCAGGGGAGGCGGGAGCCCCTGAAGAGCAAACAGCTAGACGAGCACCCCAAGACCCTCATTTCTAGCAAAGGCTCTGAGTGTTGTTCCCCTGCCCTCAGCAGCGTCGGCAGGTCCCTTCCCTCTTGGTGAGCCAGTGCAGGCTTTCAGGTGTGCTCTTTCAGGCCCAGAGCTAGCCGCCTGGACTTGAGGGAATCAGGGCATCTGCTGCTGTGGACACTCTTGGTGTGATGATGGGTGTGATGACAGGAGTGAACAGTCACAGTGTGATGGTGGGCGCGAACACTTGCAACGTGACAACGATTTGATGATGGTGTGAACACCCACAGTGTGGTGATGGGTGTGAACACTCTTGGTGTGATGGTGGTGTGATAACGGGTGTGAACACTCAGAATATGATGATGGATGTGCTGACAGGTATGAACAGTTGAAGTGTGGTGACAGATGTGATGACGGTCTCCTTGGCCAGTGTGGCGACTGCCCTTCAGCATTCCCCCTGCCTTCCCTGTGCCTCCCTGACACTTGCTCAGTGTGTGAAGCTGTGTGTGTGCACGTGCAAGGGGATGGACCCCATGCTCTGTGGGGGAGATCCACATACAACCCTCCAGTATTTTGTATTGCCTAATATGAAATACAGCATGAGTCTGAAAAATCCTGTTAAAGTCAGCCCTGACCCTGGGGAAGGTGCCTCTGCATTTGTAGGTGCGTGCCCAGCACCATCTGCTGTGAGACTTCGGGGTGTCATTGGGTGTTTGGGGGAAGCGGATCGGCACGTCTCTTACTCGGGGAGAGCTCAGATGGCGTGTGTGCATGCCCTTGCTTGTCCTGGCCTTTCTCACATCACAACCCCTAACAATGCTTTTGGAGGGCTGCTTCACCTGCATCTCAGATGCACAGCCCGTGCTGGGTGGGGTCAGGGGAGCATGTGTGGTCATGCCTGATGCTGCGCCCCCCTCCTCATCTGATGCTGTGCCCCCCCTCCAGGGCATCAGCAGCCTGTTCAGTTCCCTGAAGGTGGTGCGACTGCTCCGGCTGGGCCGCGTGGCCCGGAAGTTGGACCACTACATTGAGTACGGGGCAGCTGTCCTGGTACTGCTGGTGTGTGTGTTCGGGCTGGCCGCGCACTGGATGGCCTGCATCTGGTACAGCATCGGCGACTATGAGATTTTCGATGAGGACACCAAGACCATCCGCAACAACAGCTGGCTCTACCAGCTGGCTCTGGACATCGGCAGCCCCTACCAGTTCAATGGGTCGGGCTCCGGGAAGTGGGAAGGTGGGCCGAGCAAGAACTCTGTGTACATCTCGTCCTTGTACTTCACCATGACCAGCCTCACGAGTGTGGGCTTCGGCAACATCGCCCCCTCCACAGACATCGAGAAGATCTTCGCCGTGGCCATCATGATGATCGGCTGTGAGTAAGAGGGGCACTGGGCTGGGGGTAGGGGGCTCGTGCACTTGGGCCATCCAGGGGGCTGCAGGGTTGGGAGGTTGTCTTCGAGAACAAGGGGTGTGACTTCCTTGTCAGTTTCTCTGTGACTGGAGCAGAATCTCACGGAATTGTCTCGCACACTTCGCTCATGGCAGAGAAGTACGCGTTCCGGGGAGCTGGGGAGGGAGAGGAGCCTCCCAGAGGGGTCTTCCTGCTGGTGTCTGCAAATGGGAGAGGGATTTCCAGAAAGTTCCATGAACTTAGGCCTTGCAGTGCGGATAAAGGAGAGGTCCTGGGCAGGGAGTGTGCCCCTCCAAGTCCCCTCGCCCACTCTTGGCCACAGGCCAGCACTGCAGGAGGTGAGAGTGGCAGATGGGGCGTTGGCGTGGGGTGTGGATCAGTGAGGGAGACGAGCTGGCAGTGGTGGATGGTCAGGGACAGCCAGAGCGGGCTGGAGGGTTCTGGTACAGTGAGTGTCTCCTGCCCCTTGTGGCGTTCTCCACGTGGCTCCTAAGAAAACGTAAAGCGTGGCTTGTATTGCACCACGCTGGTCTAGGGTCCCATGTCTCACGCGTTGACCACAGGGCCCCTGGGCATCCCCAGCATGTTCCTGTGGCAGTCAGGGTCACAGCTTGAGACTGGAGGGCCCAGGGAGGAAGCTTGGCTGGAAGGGGCCACACTTGGGAAAGGCTGAGGGACCTGGTCAAGAGGAATGCGTGTCCTGTTTGACTTATTTGGGGTGAGGAGCCAGGCCCATCGGTGCAGGGAGGGGACTCAGGGCTGGCGTGGGCAAGGCTGGTCTCTGCCCCTTGATCACTGCCCCTGCTGTTTGCTAGAGAGCCGAGGCTTCACGAAGGCTGCACTCAGGTGGGAGGGACGGGGTGGGTGGAGGGGCTGGGCCTGATGGGAAGCAAACAGCCCTGCTGTGGGGGCCCTGTGTGGTGGGGCGGGGCGGGCAGGGCAGATCCGCACTGGTGGAGACTGAGACGCAGGGTGACGGGGGGAGGGGGGCAGGAATGGCCCTAGGGACCAGCAGGTCCCTGTGAGTGCCGGAGTATTGGACTGATGGTCCCCTCTGTGGCCACTGGGGCCAGGCCTGGGTGCTGTCAGCAGACATGGTGGCTTTGCGCTAGGAGCCCAGGGGCTGTTCTGCCCGCCTTCTTGGGCTGGTGCCGCTGCCCTTCCCTTCTGCCCACGGCAGCAGCCAGGACCACAGGGTCTCCTTGGAGCCAGTCTGCAGGGCTCGGTTTGGGGAGCAGTGGCTGCTGGCACGTTTGGCCTTTTCCTGAGCAGCCTGCGTGCCTGTGGGTGGCTGAGTGCTTTGCTGAGTCAGACTGGAGCGGCAGCCCCAGTCCTGTCACTTTTCTAGAATCATCTCAGAATTGCTTGGCTCACATCCCTGTGTGCCTGGGGAGATGCTCAGACCGTTCCTGGCGTCCCTGTGGATGAATTTGGGGAAGGTGCTGCACTCACCTGGAACTCGGAGCCCAGGCCAGGCTCAGGGCCTGGCCTGTGACCTTTCACCCGGAAGAGGAAGCAAACCCATGTCTGTGGTTCAGAGAAAGACTGGGTTTGTCCTTGTTTTTCCAAAGCAGCTTCCCTGGGGGCATCTCGAGAAAACTCAAGGAGCCTGGCCTTCCTCCCAGCTGGCATGGCCATTCCGTGTGAACGTGCACTCCCTCCCCGCAACTGTCCAAACGCATGTCCCCCTAGCTATTTTCTCTTTCAGGGCAAAGGCCAGGGGCAGGAGAGTGGGCACTGCCAGGGCTCCCTGCCCAGGGCCACTGTGGGGCCAGACAGCTGGGCCGCACCTGCCACAGGGACCGTGTTTGTGGCTGCTTCCATCCGAAAACAAGACGAGGGCAGGCAGGGGCCCAGGTGCCCCTCAGACACCAACACAGCTGTCCCTCTGTGGGGGACATGGCCATGTCCTTGTCCTGGGTCATATGCCATGGCCACTGGCCGCTCTGCTTAGATGAACGGGTGCAGCCGTGGGATTCCAGGTGCTTCTCTGAGCACCCACTGAGCAGGGGACCAGGCTCTGCTGCCTCAACTGCTTCTGCATATGGACAAAGCAGGCTGATGGATGTGTGTGCACCCTGGGTCCCCTCTGAGCACCGAAGGTCATTTCCAGCAGGATGTGGACTCTGCTTCCCGTAGCTCTTGGTAGAAGTGCCCAGTGCTTTTGCTCCAGGTGGCTGCTGGGGCATCCCGCTGTGGAGCAGTGAGAAGGCTCCAGGGGGCCAGAAGATCTTGATGGGGACTCACACTCGGACCCAGTGCACATGTGTGGGCAAACTGCCACGGTGAAGCTGGGAAGCCCAGAGAAGGGGAGAGGAGAGACGGGGTCTGCAGGCCCTTTACCCTAACAGGCTCGTGGTTGCTGACGCCCGCCCCGGGCTCCCCTCTCCGCATCTCCCCCCAACTTCGGCATGTGCCCAGCCCCGGAGAGCAGGAGGAGGGGCAGGAAGGAGGCTGGACACGGCGCAACCGTGACTAGTGAGCCCTGTGGATCGTCCTTGTCCTGTTCGCTCGAGCTAGACTTGGTGACCTGCCCCCAAACCCCCAATGGCTGAGGGGCTGGGAGGGGCTGTTTCAGGCTCTTGTGCCCTTGTGGAGAGAGCTGTGGGCCCTCCACCCAGCTGCGGCTCCCCCTTTATCCCTCCTGAGTCCCTGGGCATGTCACCTCCCTCTGGGCTCAGAGCAGTTCTGGGCTGGGGCTGCCCCTTCCCAGGGCGTGGGGGGTAGTTCTCGTCCGTGGGAGCCAAACGGGACCAATGCGGGACGGAGCCCGTCAGAGCCCCCCTTCACGTGGTCCCTGTAACTGCAGAGACGGTGCCCTGCGCCCTTCCCATCCTTGCGTCCTATTCTTAGAGAGAAGGAGGATTGTAATTGCTGCTTCTACCCTGCCGGGGGCCGCTCTTTTTCTTGGGGGCTGTGTTTATTTTGGGAGCTGGGCAGTGTCCAGGATGCCAGGGAAGAAATAACTCTTGGGTCCTCGTTTATTCTTAGAGTTCTCCTTCCTCGCCACAGACCAGCTGGCCGGTTGCAGAGCACCATTCTGTCTCTGTGCAGTGCTCTTCAGTGGGGACCCCACTGCACACCCACCTGGGCTGCCCCTCACCCCCAGAAACCCCCCACCTCCCTGCTGTCCCCTGGCGTTGTCTACACCACCAGCTCCTGCTCTGAGGCCATGGTCAGGGTTCCCCTCACGGTGTGGTCACTGCCCTCACGTCTCTGCCCTTGGACTGCCTTTCAGGTCCATCTAAGTGGGCAGCACCCAGCTCCCCCCCCCACACACACACACCTCTGTTGCAGACAAAGACTCTCAGGGACCTTCCTGAGACGGCTCAGCCACCATGACCCCATAATGGGGAGACTGAGGATGCCCACAATGGTGGGCTTCTCTCGAACCCGCTCTGACCTCTCTCAAGCACTGTCTGTCCGGGGTCAGAAGGTGCTGGTGCTTGGTGGCCTGGTCAGTCTGCCCTTATGTCCTTTCCTCGGGCAGAACTGCACACAAACCTTGAGCCTTGCTACAGCCCAGTCCTACCAGAGCAGGGATGGAGGACCATGTGGTGCGGGGCCTCATGGGGCTGAGGAATCAGGGTATCCAAGAGAGAAGGCTGTGCTTGTGTGTCTGCACCTGGACTCAGCAATCAGTACCTGAAGTCTGTCCCGTACCTCGACCCAGCACCTGGACCCCCTGCCTGTCCTGCCTTGCCTCCAGATTCCCTGGAAACCAGCGCTCCAGGCCTCTCAGGGGTCAGGGCTGAGCAGGACCCTGATGTTGAAGGCTACCAACTCGATGGTCCCCACGGTTAGAGTGGAGGGCTTCCTCAGCACCCAGTGGTTAGAGTGGAGGGCTCCCTCTGGAGCTGCGTCCCTGTGGGCCCCGCCTGGGGACTGGGGGCTGTGGAGAACACTGGAGGAGGTGCTGGGGGGCTTTGGGGGACTCTAGGGCTGTGTGCAGCCTCATGCTGACCCCTCCTGCCCGTCCCTGGCTCCCGGGGCTTCTCACATCTTCCAGGGCCAGGGCTGCCCAGGCCATGACCTAGGCGCCGCATCTGAGGATTTTGTGTCAGGGCTGTGGGTTGCCCACTGGAGTGTCGGCATTACTACTGCGGGAAGGGAGTGCACAGGACAAGTCCTGTGTGCCTCTGGAACCTTCTTCAGCTAGCGCTTGCAGTGTACAGTGCCTGGACCACAGGTCCTCCACTCCACCTGTGGGGTGGGATGGTGAGGAGAGTCAGGGCTACCCCTCCTGGCTCCACGGTGGGTGGGCGCGCGCTCTATGGGGCCCCCTGGCTCCCTCCTCTGCAGTCATCTCATGACTGAATCACCACCCAGCGTCGCACATTCATAAGCTAATGACCTTAATTGTGCACACCTCAGCAGGCATTTGGCAGGGCTGTGAGCTGCCTCTTCACAGTGGCAACTGGGTATGCCTGTCCTCCCCAGTCCGGGGCAGGGGGTGGGGGGGATGCAGACTGCATCTCTGGCCCTCCAGAGCCCCCCGGAGGAGGGTCCTTTGCCCAGGCACCTCCAGACCTCTCAGCCGCGTTGCTGACTCCAGCTGCCCGAGTCCCCACAGACCGTGCCAGGAGCCTGGGAACCTTGTGGGACAGGCCTGGAGCTTGTCCCTTCCCGCCGAGCCCCCAGCTGGGCTGGAACCTGAAAACCACATGTGGCTAGCAGTAGCCAGACTCTGTTAGAGTCAGGCCAGACACTTGCAGGGGCCCAGAGAGGGTACTGTCAGAGAGAGGGGGCCGTGGGAGGCTTGCAGGATCTGGCTGAGCAGGGGGTGATGTGCTGCTTTGGGGCCAAGACTGTCAGACCCTTCCATCTCTCGCAGCCTCCTGCTGGTCTGCTCTGCTGGGTTGAGGCATTGACGAGGCACGTCCCCCAGATTCCTTCCCAGGTGCCTCCTGCCCTGCCCTGCCCTGCCCTGCCCTTCCGGCTTTGGCGCGTGCTGGAGGCACCCAGAGTCCCGGCGAGCCAGATGCCAGCGCTGGCGGAAGAGGTGGGGGAAGGCCCCCACTTTCCATGCGCCTCCGCCAGCATGTGTTTGCCGGCGCCACGGCTCCCATCACGCACCCACACCCTCTCGTCTTTCCTCCACTCTGGCTCCTGGGTCCCGGGCTCCGTAGCTGTCAGGGCCCTGGGAATGAGGCCTGCAGGCCCTGTCTGCCAGAGAGGGGAGTGGCCCCGCACCATGTGATGCCCCTACATCGCGGAGTCCCCTGCCGGCTCCTGCGGCCGCAACACGAACTACAGCCTCGCCAGGCCTGTCCCTGCCCTGTCTGGCCAGGGTGCCCGTCTCCAGGCTTCCGTCCTCCCGCTCCACCTCCTCACCTGAGCCCAGCCCAGGAGCATCTAGCTGTGGACCCCACTCTTCTCTCTTCCACCCCTTTCCTAGGCACCAGTCCTCCACTGTGGACAGGGGGCCACGGGAAAGGTGAGGGTGGGACTGGGCCCATGGGGTGCAGGGTGCTTGAGCTGGGTCATGCATGCCCCCTCACGGTGCTCCGGGCTGTTCCCCCTCCCACTCACAAGGGGAGAATCTGGATGAGAGCCAGACTCCTGTTTTCCCCAGCAGTGGGGTCTCAGTCCTTGGGGGGCGGGGACATGGCAGCCACGGGAAGAATCGCTGAGGGTGTGTGTCTGGAGGAGCTGGAGAAAGTGGACTCATCTTTACAGACCTGGGTCAGACGCACAGGATGGAGCCCATTTTCCAGCCTGGGAATAGGGGAATGCGTCCAGTCTCCGAGTTCCCGTGGCTGGACTGAGGCTGCCATGCCCGCTGACTAGCTCCCGACCATGCTCTGTGCCGACGTGCCTCCCACAGGGACTAATGCCACATTAGCTGTGCCTGGTGTCTGTCGGTGCTCACTGAAGTGCTGTTTGCTCAGACCCCAGCCCGGTGCTCGGCGGCGGCACTGCCGTGTGGTACACGGCCTATTTCAGAGCATCGCCATGGCCTGGGCTTGTCTGTCAGCATGCGCTGGTCATCCATGAGAAGGCTGGCAGGATGCAGGGGCCCAAGGCTCGAGCAGCCCTCAGGCCCCATCGGTGGCCTCAGAGCCCCCCGAGGGTGGACACTCCGCTCTCTTACTGGGTCTGGATGAGTTGCAGATTGAGGTGGACGGGGTAAGGTGTGTGTGGGGGGAGGAGGGGGAGGAACAGTTGGTCACGATGAAATGTGGAGTCTCCGGAACTGGCAGTAACATTAGCATCCCCAGGGATTCTGGCCTCCGGGCCATGGGCAGCTCTTGGTGTGACTGGCTTTGGGTGGCCATGGCTGTCACCAAGAGACTGTGAGCAAACAGAGCTGCTTCCCTGCCCCCCACTGCTTTAGAAATACAGGGTGAAATGAGGCGCCCCCACGTGCTGCTAGCCGCCCCGAGTGGGAGACAAGACAGCACTGAGAATAACGTCTCTGTGGCAGGAATCTGGCTTAAGTGACGGGGGCCAAATCCACACTATTTTTAGCAGCACGTCTTCAGGCTTGTTATGAAATCAGGGCCAGAGGTGTTTGAGTCCCTGCTGTGGGCGCGTGGTGTGCCATTTGGGGTGAGCAGTGCCCAGGCCATGGCTGGCAGGGGCTCAGAGCTGAGCATTTGCCTGCCCACACTGTGACCCAGTGCCAGGGTCATGCCCTTCGCACCCCCAACTCCACATCCGCTCCCCTACCTGCTGGCCAGGTCAGCAGCCTCCATGCCTATTCTTCCCCAACACGTTTTTCTCTGCCTGTGGGAAGATCACCTTGACATTAAGGTGACCTTGTAATCAAGCATTTAGGGCTTTTATACTTTGGGATTAAGTACTTTATGATCGAGGACCTAGGGATCAAGTACCCTAGCACTGTAGCACTGTCCTCCCGTTGTTCATTGATTTGTTCGAGTAGGCACCAGTAATGTCTCTGTTGTGAGACTTGTTACTGTGTTTGGCATATCGAATATGCCACGGGCAGCTTGCCAGGCTCTGCCGTGCGGGCGGGATACTCTCGGTAGCTTGCTGGGCTCTCCGAGAGGGATGTAGGAATCAAACCCGGGTTGGCCGCGTGCAAAGCAAATGCCTTGCCCGCTGTGCTATTGCTCTAGCCCTCAAGTGGGAGGAGAGACTGCTTCTCCCAGATCACACATGAGTTGTGAGCGTGCATTTCTGGGTGCGCCCTGAGGTGGGTCCAGTGGTCCTAGGGGAGCCTGAGGTCAGCTTTTCTCCCACACACCCAGGCTGGACACTTGGAGAAGCCCCAGATCTCTCAGAGGGCACAGTGCCGGGACCCCCTGTCTGATAAAGAGGCAGGACTGGGGAGGGAACAGAGATGCAGGTGAGGCTGTGCGGGCCGCAGACGGTCACCCTCTGCTGTCCCCTGTGCAGCTGTGCAGGGCCGCAGATGGTCACCCCCTGCTGACCCCTGCTGTCCCCCGTGCAGCCCTCCTGTATGCCACCATCTTTGGGAATGTGACGACCATCTTTCAGCAGATGTATGCCAACACCAACCGCTACCACGAGATGCTCAACAGCGTTCGTGACTTCCTCAAGCTCTACCAGGTGCCCAAGGGCCTGAGCGAGCGCGTCATGGACTACATCGTTTCCACCTGGTCCATGTCCAGGGGCATTGACACCGAGAAGGTGGGCATGTGGTCCCCCGGAGCCCCCGTTCACCATTGTTCCCACAGCAGCCTGAGCCAGGAGTCAGCCGTTAGCACTGCCGGAGTGACTCAACCCCCTTAACTTCCTGTAAGAACAGCCACTTCTGTGACAGCTCAGATTCAGCATATGACCATAGAACCATCCAGAAAACTCGAATCTCACAGGAAGATGCCAAGTCCCGACTTCACAGAAAGACACTGGGGAAAAGGGCTCTGGGTGTCTCCTTCAGATGCCACTTTTTGGCTACCTCAGAATCGAGTCCCCCTGAAGCATGTAGGGCCTGCTCTCGGCCAGTCTGCTCTCCTCATCGGGACCCAAACCCTGGTCACCATCCCCCCCCGAAACGATGTTGGCACTGCCCCTCCATGTTCCCAGTGTCCCCAGGATACCCCAGGCATTGCATTAAAACCAAACCCTCAGGGCCAGAGCTAGATCACAGGGGCAGGGCCCGGACCCAGCACTGAGTCACGCGGGCTCTGATCTTCCAGCACCATATGTGGTCCCCAAGCCCTGCCAGGAGCACCCCTGAGCACGGACAGGAGCCTCCTCCCTGAGGCCCCCCAGGAGGAGCCAAACAAACAGAAAGGCCAGAAGGATTTCCCCCAGGTCTCAGCCTCTGGACCCCCTCCCCCTCCACACTCCGTGCTCAGCTCCCCTGACCTGCAGCCTTTGCTGTTCATCTAGGATGTTCTTTCCCTGCTTGCCTGACAGCCACAGGCAGCACCCATCGGGGACCCTGCCCCCAGCTTTGTGGGTGGGGTGGTTATGGCCCCGTTGTCCCTCCCACAGGAAGAGGACAGACCCTGAGGTTTCTCTCGCATGCAGGTCCTGCAGATCTGCCCCAAGGACATGCGTGCGGACATCTGTGTGCACCTGAACCGCAGGGTGTTTAAGGAGCACCCTGCCTTCCGGCTGGCGAGCGACGGCTGCCTGCGGGCTCTGGCCATGGAGTTCCAGACCGTGCACTGTGCGCCGGGCGACCTGATCTACCACGCAGGCGAGAGCATCGACAGCCTCTGCTTTGTGGTGTCCGGCTCACTGGAGGTGATCCAGGATGACGAGGTGGTGGCCATCCTGGGTGCGTGCCCCTTGCTGCCGCCCGGGCTCCTGTGCTTGGGGCAAGCAGAAGGGGGTGTTCCCCCACTGCCCCAGGGGAAGGGCCAGGATTGGGGGAAGTTAAGGCCAGAGCTGAGTCTCCTTGGGATGTGAAATGTAGATCTTAGTGTTGGGTGAGTGCTCCATCCCTCCTGAGGAGTTCCTCACACAGTGGTCAGGAGCACAGGTAACTCTGAGGCATCCTGTGAAAGCTGGAAGGGCTTCCTGGAGGAGGTGGAGGGACCCGGGGGAATCTGGGGTCTCGAGGCGGGAGGGTAGGGGGCACATTCAGGACCCGCGAGTATAGGAGTCCCACGGAGATGCAGCTGCTTCTTGGCCCAGCCCAGCCCTCCCTGCAAGGGCACGAGCATCTGCCTTCTCAGAATATCCTCCCCCCACCCCAGGGCATGAGTGACTGCAGTCACTGGGTGGTTGGCCAACGGAAGTGGGGCTGTGGGAGCTGGGTCCACGAGGCCCTGGGCCTCACCATGGACCCTGCTGGTTCCAGCTACAGCCCGGAGCAGCTGCAGGGGGAGGCCCCAGGACTTGGGGGTGGCTAGTTGGTGGGCCGGGATCGGGGATGTGTGTGGAGCCAGGTTGGGGGCAGAAGCACAAGGCTGGTCTCATACCCAGAGCCCAGGGGAACAAAAGGTGTGGGGAGGCCACTGGGGCCCCGTGGACATGACCGATGCCCAGCTCAGGGAGGTGGGTAAGTGGGTTTCCGCAGAGATGAGAGAAGCCAACCCTGGGCAGAGTGACTGCAGATAAACCCGAGATCCAACGTGAGCTGTGAGCCCATGGGGACGGTGGCTGAGCTGGAGCCTGAGGACTTCCTGAGTGGCCAAGAGAGGGCTGGGGCAAAGGACTCACCTTTCAGGGCCAAGGCCCTGATTCTACCTCTGGCCCTGCATGCCCCGCACCCATGGCCCGGGGGCCTTGGATCCCCTGGAGGTTCGAACTCGAGCTTGACCGGGTCCTGTACTGCCTGCCCACTGCGCCTGTCTCTGGTCACCGCAGAAGGCACGGGTAGGATGCAGAGCAGGTGGGACAGGCAGGCGTGTCTGAGTGGGCTCCATGGGCCACAGCTTATTCTCACAACCTGATTGGTCAACACTCTATGGGCCACACCTTACTCACACAACCTGATTGGTCACACTCTGGGCCATGCCTTATTCTCACAACCTGATTGGTTACACCACATCAACCATGGCTTGTCCTCAATTCCTGACAGATTACGCCTGGCTGCAGCCAGGCGGTGGTCTGTGAACGTTATCCTGAGCCCCTCCATTGTGCCTTGCTTGCACCTATGCTCTCAGCAGTCTCTGTCTTTGTCCCTGGGGCAGGTAGGAAGAGCAGAGCTTGAATGCTGGCGGAGGAGGAGTTCCAAGTGGAGAGGCCACTGCTCCCGCAGTTTATTAAACAGCCCCCCCTACCCCCCGTGGGTCCTTCAGACAGAGACACTTCCTTGTAACCTGGGAACGCTGCACTGCCAGCCTGAAACAAGCCTCAGTAGTTTCTTCGAGCCTCTGCCAAGCTCACACACTCATGGGGTATCCCAGCACCCCATTCGTTGACAGCTCCCCAGCAAGAGGAAAAAAGCAGACCCTGGGATCAGCACAAATATTTCTGCTTGGGAGTCTCCTAACTAAGGGAGGGAAACCACGTTCTTGCCTAAGTCTGTTTCTGCTGAAGCAATTAAAAGAACAACTTGTCGTTGACCCCAAAGCCACGTGGGAGTAAGTCTTTGTGGAAGAAACTCTCCACCCCCTCAGGGACTAGGGAAAACGTTTGGTTCTGTAGGGAATTAGCTTCAATCAGGGTGGAGGTTACCATGACGATAAGGAGAAGTTGGGTTGGCATGCAATATATTTCAAATACAAGGGGGAAAAAACACCGCAGAACCTGGACGTGTATACAGTGTATACAGTGATCTCAGCGACATAAAAGTGGCATATTTGAAGGCTGGAGAGAGAGCGTAGGAGCTAAGACACTTACCTCGCATGCAGCCAACCCAGGTTCAATCCCTAGCACCACATAGGAGTCTCCAAACCCACCAGAACTGATCACTGAAACACCACTGGGATGGCCCCCCAAACAAAAGGTACATATTCAAGTAGACAGGAAGACACCCCCAAGCTCACAGGGTGATCTCTGGGGGACACCTGGAGGGCGGTCTGCTGCTGTGGCTCAGTGCATCTCCCATAGTTTCACCAAAGCTCTCAAACCCTTTCGTAGACTGGAGGGCATGAGAAAGCCCATGCTCACTTCTGCTCCAGGGCGATCTTGGGGACAGCGCCCTGCACTTGGGGGTCCTGGGTGGGGTTCTACTGGAGAGACATCAGCTCTGGGAGGGGGAGTCCATGTGGCTGGGGGGGGGGGGCAGGAGCAGCATCCATTTCCCCAGGGACCAGGGCTGGGTGCAGGTCTGGGAGGGGCAGACGCCGGCTTCCCTCCTGCAGAGGCAGGGCACAAGGGCCAAAGGTAACCGTACAGGCCAGAACCTGCCTCTCCCACTGCCGGGCCCTGTCTCTGCTATCACCCAGACCCAGAGCCACTGCACAATCAAAGCCTGGAGGGGCCCAGGGAGGACACCCTTCTGCACCCAGCCAGTTTCCTTGGCCACTGCTGGACTGTGAGGAGCTGGGGTCCAGCAGCAGAGAGCAGGGCTTGGGGCAGCAGGTCGCTCAGGACACAGTGCCTGAGTCGGGGTTCGGTCAATGCTGAGGGCATGCCTGGCCCCCACATGCTGATGCGGCCCCCGTTTCTGAGCCCTAGTAGCTTAAAGGGGAAGCAGGAGGTGGGGGCAGAGCTGTCCCTGTGCCCAGGTCCTCCACTTGTTCTGTGACTGTTCTTTACCCATGAAGACGGGGACTTGGGGGGGGGGCAAGCTGATACCCTGTGTCACGCACCAACTGGAACACTCTGTCCCTGGCAGGCATCCGGGAAGCACCAGATCAGTGAGCTCAGCGAGTCCATTGCCAAGTGGTGCCGGCACCTTCTGTTCTTGGGAGGGGGGGAGAGGGAAACTCACGGACCAGTCCTGTCCCTCCCTCCCTCCCTCTCCCAGCTTACAGTGCCCCACATACGCCTACCAGGCTGGGGGGAGGAGGGGTCCCACCAGGCCCTCACCCCACGGACCAGATCATTCCCCCAAAACACCCTGCACAGGAGGGAAGGGAAGGAACATGGGTTGGGCTGAAGGTCTAAGTTCTCCCCCTCCCCATTTTTTGGTTTCGGGGCTAAACCCAGCAGTGCTCAGGGCTTACTCCTGGCACTGTACCGTATGTGGTGCCGGAGATCAAACCCTGGTCGCTGCTTTCCCATCTCTCCAGCCCAGGTACACGTTCTGACAGACGAGTGTCCCCACAAATGCCCCAGGAACCCTGATGTTCTTACCACGAATCGCTTTTCAGGAGGGAGCTGTTTGCCCCCATTCTGTGTGTCTGAGCTCTTGCCGTGCCCAGGGTCCCAGGCACACTTGCTCACTGTGGCTGGTGGCGGCCAGGGGTGGCACAGCAGAGGCTTTCCTGCTACACCCTGATGCTAGCAAATCTCTGTCCTGGTACAGCACCTCCGTGTCCAGGCTCAGACGTCTCAGAGACTGGAGTGGAGGGGAGGATGCAGTGAGTGGTCCACACTCAGTTGGTTGGAGAAGACTCGGAGTTGGTGGAGGTGTCTGCCCGCGGGGGTGGGGTTGGGGCCTCATTGGCCTTTTCTGGGTGGTTGCCAGACTCACCTCTGTCTCTCACAGGGAAGGGGGATGTGTTCGGAGATGTGTTCTGGAAGGAGGCTGCTCTGGCCCAGTCGTGCGCCAATGTCCGTGCCCTCACCTACTGCGACCTGCATGTTATCAAGCGCGATGCACTGCAGAAGGTTCTGGAATTCTACACTGCCTTCTCACACTCCTTCTCCCGAAACCTCGTGCTCACCTACAATCTGCGGAAGCGGGTGAGCCATGGGGGTGCGGGGTAGTTTTGAAGGGCAGGGCGGAGGCACCGGAGAGCCTCGAGGGGAGGCTGGTGGGTACGAGCACCTGGGGCTCCATCAGGGTGTTCTGCAGAAGGACCTCATGGCGCACCCCTGTCGTGTCTGCTACATCCTGGGCTCTGCCCAGGGGCCCAGGTCAGAGAACACAGGACTCCATGCTGAGCACCCCGCACAGTAGGGCCTCAGTGCTAAGTTCACCCGGGAAAGCCGCAAAGTGCTGACGCTAGATCCTTGGCACAGGGAGAGGTGTGGTGCTTGCTGCTGAGTACCCCACATGGGGAGGGCAAGTGGTGCTGGTACTGAATACTTCATCTGGGGAGATGCACAGTCCTCGGTGCCCAGTGTGGCTGGGACACTGTCAGCATCAGGGAAGGGGTGGGGTCAGATGAGCCGTGTCTTCAAGAATGACTTTCCAGCAGGGAGCAGGGCTCCACCTCTGTCCTCCACGTCCCTGCATGGAGCCCATCCCTGAGCCCAGCAGTCAGGCCCGGGTCACTGGGCCACCAATCTCGGCTCCTGCAGGCCTGATGCAGGGCGGGGGACAGTCATGCGGCTCTCTTGGGTCCAGGGCAGCCAGTGACCGCTCTGGTCACTGCTGGAGAGGACATATTTGGCACAGGTGGGTCTCTTGTGAAGAGGACACTTTCCCCTCACAGTCCCTTTTGACCACCCAGAACATACTGTGCGCAGCTGTCTCGCGGCTGCACCGCCTTCTGTCTGCCTCCTGCAGCGGGTTCTTGGCGCAGCCTGCAGATGGCGCCATGAAACTGGGCTGTGTGGGGAGGCGGCTGGCCCTGCAGGGGCCTTGAGCCTGGCAGAAGCGGGGGGGCCATCAGGTAACCATGTGCAAAGACCTTGGAGCTGGTGAGTGACAGCAGGACAGGAATGGTCACCTCCCCACCTCAGCCTCCTATGCCTGCCTATCCCAAGCCCACCCCCGGCATTTGGACCCCACCAGGACTGACCCTACCCCTGGCAAGCTGAGATAGATGGGTGGGAAATGTGGAGCAGGATGGGCTGGGGGATGCCTCTGCCCTGGCCCTAAGAATATCCCATTGTGGGGCTGGAGCAACAGCACAGCGATAGCACAGCAGGCAGGGCGACCCGGGTTCTATTCCGAGCATCCCATATGGTCCCTCGAGCACCGCCAGGAGTGATTCTTGAGTGCAGAGCCAGGAGTAACCTGAGCATCACCAGGTGTAACCCAAAAAGCAAAAACAAAACAAAACGAACCCCCCAAAAATAGCCCATTGTTCGGAGACTAAAGTCCAGTTGTGCCGGGGCAGGAAGACAGCGCCATAGGCAGGTTGGGACAGGGTGGACAGCTGGCCTTTTGGGGGCGGCACTTCCTGGGGTGCCATGGTACCCAGGCTCCCTGTCTGATGCCCTTCCTCTGTCTCTCCAGGAAGCTTCGTTTGTTTGGCTCCTGCTCATTGGCCACAGACCCTCTGGAGTCTCCAGGCTGTGTGTGTGTGTGGCGGGGGGTCGGGGGTGGGCACTGCTCCCCTGAGGCCCATCCTAGGCTCAGCACCCACTAGTGGTGGGACAGTGATTCTCGGGAGCCACTATCCACAGTGCTGAGCAACGCTGCTGCTCAGGTCGACTTGGATCCCGAATCTGATTTATTTTGTGGTGAGGGAGATCAGCGATCACTCCTGGCTCTGTGCTCAGGGATCACTCGTGACAGGTCTCAGGGGATCCTGTGCAGTGCTGGGGGTGGAACCCAGCTCCCGTGCAAGGTGAAAATGCTGTGTCTGCACTGAGTCTGGCTGAAGCGCAAGGCAGCTTCCAGCATTTTCCACAGCACATGACAGGTATGGGTGGCCCCCAGGCCAGGCTGTCCTCCTTCCTCCCTGTCGCGGCCAATGGGCGAAAATGAGAGTGAGCCTGGCACGGGCTCAGTCTCCCATGGGTGGACGGGTCTGCCCACATCAGTTATGTCTGAGGGTTTCCTGTGACCAGAGGTGGGTAGGGACAGGGTGCCCTGGAGGTCCCCACTGTCGCTGGGGGCTGATTCAGCCTCCACCACAGTGTGTAAGAGGTCAATCCCGGGCTGCAGGTGGGTGCCACCTGACCTCTGACCTTGAGGCTGGGCAGGGGTGTATGAAATCAACTAACCATCACGCTGCTTTTCATTGGCCACCAGCTGCGTCCTTGACTCCACAGGTTCCGCAGGATGGAGGGCCCCATTTCAACCCCGTCGCACACGGGGGGCTGCCGCTCACTTCACAGGCTCGTGGGGGTGGGCAGCAGGGACTTGCTGCTGAGTGTTTTAGGGGGCCGGGAGAGATCATTCTCAGTCTGCGCCCCACTGCCCTGCAGCCATGCCCCCCATGCCCTTGGCCGGGGGCTGAGCTCCCGGTACCTGTGGCGTCTTGTGCCTGCCTGTGGGGACATGCCGAGTCACTGAGGCAGATCTGTGAGGCACCTGCTGAGGGATGGGACATCTGACTGTCTCAGCACCGCACCTGCAGCAGCCGCCGCCGCAGGATGGGGACCTGGAGAGGCACGGGGACGCGCGACACTCCGGCTGCAGATGCTGGTGCCCCATGGACCCCGCAGCACCTTCAGCCTCAGCTGGGCCTCCCCGGCCTTTGCCTTCTCACGGTGGGGCCGGTGCTGGCTTTGAGGCTCTGCCCCTTGGCTGGGCAGCTGAGCCTGTTGCCAGCGAGACCCGTGCCTGCCTGCTCATTGCTCGAGCTATGTGTGAGCCCAGCTGAGGCCCAGCCTGGACACATGCTCACACGTGTCTGTACATGTCCATGCCCATGTGTGCTGCGTGTACCTGCACGCACCTCTGTGCTGCTCCAGAAGCGCCCACAGAACCAGGGAGAAAAACTTCATTTCCTTTCAGTGCTGTGGCGGCTGCTGCCAACCCCTGCTTTCTCCTCAGCCGCCTTCCTCCTCTGTCTCCTGACCTCCTGAATGACCCCTAGGGTGCAGCCTGGGTATAATAGAAAGTGGGCACCAGGCTCAAGGCCATAAATGGGCTAGGCCTAGGGATGTGGGGCAGAGGCCTGTGGGCCTGTGTCCAGCTCTGGGCACCCAGCCCGTAGCTCCCTGCAGTGGCGAGACTAGCCTCATACTGGGCGGCACCTGTGCCCGCCGCTGCAGAGGCTGGTGATGGGTTCCAACTGGGCACCTGCTCCTTGTACCTCAGTGGACACTGGGCCCTGTGAGATGGCACTTTCACCTGTCCCAGGGCTCCGGGCCAGCACTAAGTGCCAGCAGGGACATTGGGGACCGTCCCTAAGAAGTGAGCAGGGATCCCAGCAACACATGGTCCACCAGGCCAGTGCCAGGGCTGGGAACCACAGTGCGGGTCACACTTGGGCTTCCAGGTGCAAGGCCTGTGTCAGTGCCTGTGTCCCAGCGCCCCGAGGGACACACTTGGAGCCTCGCCCCCGCCTGGGTGAACTGCTCAGTCCCGTGCCGTGCCTGTGACTCTGCCGCTCCCAGGGCGAAGTCTCCATGCATGCCGTCTCCAGGTGCCGAGCCAGGCATTTGCCGTCCATCTGGGTTTCAGCACTCCAGGACGGAGCGTGGACACACAGTCCCTGTCTGTCCCTGCACCCAGTACATGAGCTCCCCTGCCCACACTGCACCCCCATGCACTCAGTGCCCTCCCCCACACGGCTGCTCACGGAAGGCAGCCCAGGTGGACTCCTGCTCCCAAGCCCGCAGTGGGTGCTCAGGGCCTTCCTGGGCAGCAGTGCAGAGCCTGTCGGTCTGCGCTTCCCAGTGGGCACCGCCCTGCCCCACCCGACTGCACCTTCCTTGCTGCGGCTGGGGTGCGTGGCATAATGACCCGGGTTGGTCAGGACATGATGGAGCTTCCAGGAGGTCACGGGCAGTTGGGCTGGGGTGCACGACAGCCGTGACAACACGGGTTCAGGAGTTCAGGAAAGGCTGGGTCTGGCCTCACACAGTCGGGGTGTGGGCAGTGGCTGCACTTCACTGTCCCTGTGGTGTCCCCCCTCGGCCCTGCTGCTCCCGGGGGCGGTGGGGGGGGGGTCCAGCCCGGCTCCCAGCAAGCTGCGTGGACAGCAGGGAGGCTCCGGTTAGACCCCTGACCCCGCGTGTCCTTCCTCTGCTCCCCCCCCGCCCCCCAGATCGTGTTCCGCAAGATCAGTGACGTGAAGCGGGAGGAGGAGGAGCGTAGGAAGCGCAAAGACGAGGCGCCCCTGGTGCTGCCCCCCGACCACCCGGTCCGCCGGCTCTTCCAGCGGTTTCGGCAGCAGAAGGAGGCCCGGCTAGCCGCCGAGCGCGGGGGCCGCGACCCCGAAGATGTGGACGTGGAGAAGGGCGGCCGCACAGCCCCCGAGTCCTGCGTGGTGCAGGCCAGCGTGGTGACCGTGCGCGAGAGCCCCGCCACACCTGTGGCCTTCCAGGCTGCCCTGCCGGGCGCCTCCGACCAGGCCCGGCTGCAGGCACCGGGGGCTGAGGGCCTGGGCCCCAAGGCCGCCGGCGTGGAGGGCGCCAAGCGCCGGGGTTGGGCCCGCTTCCGGGACGCGGCAGGCGGGAGGGCTGAGGACTGGGACAAGGTGTCCAAGGCCGAGTCCATGGAGACGTTGCGGGAGCGGGGCAAGGCCGCGTGCGAGGCCACGCTGAAGAAGACGGACTCGTGTGACAGCGGCATCACCAGGAGCGACCTGCGCCTGGACAGTGTGGGCGAGGCCCGCAGCCCGCAGGACCGCAGCCCCGTGCTGCCCGAGGCCAAGCACCCCTTCTACCCCATCCCCGAGCAGACGCTGCAGGCCGCCGTGCTGGAGGTGAAGCTGGAGCTCAAGGAGGACCTGCAGGCGCTGGGCGCACAGGTGGCCCGGCTGGAGCAGCAGCTGGGCCAGGTGCTGCGCCTGCTGGCTGCCCGCCGGCCCGCTCAGTCCCCACAGGAGCTCTTCGACGTCTCAGGGCCCCCATCCCCGGCGGTGGCCGCAGAGGAGGACCAGGACGACTTCAGAGCCAGCTGAGGCTGGGACGAGCCGGGTGGCGCCCTGCGGTGTCCAGGGACTGCGGGCTGGGGAGGACAGTGTCTTGTGGCATCCCTGGGCCTTGAGCTCAGGTCCTGCTGAGCAGAAACCGCCCCGGGTCAGGGGGGCTTGGGTATGTAACAGGCATTGACTCACGTAGGTACATACGTGTAAATACTCATGTACATACGTGTATACTCATGTACGTGCACACATGTGCACTCGTGTATGTACTCGAGATGGCTCCTCAGCAGGCCCCCGGGCCCCCACATGGCTCAGTTCTCCTCTGCACAGACTTTGGGGTGCTGGTATTTGCCCCTGGGCTCCTTGGGTACTGGGCTCTGTTTGCAATGTCCCCCTTTCCTTGGGGCTCAGGGCCCTTGGGGAGAAAAGCAGAGGAAAAAAGGGAGGGAAGGTGGGAGGGAAGGAAGGAGAGAAGGAAGGAAGGAGGGGGAGAGGGAGAGAGGGAGGGAGGGAGGGAGGAAGGAAGGAAGGAAGGAAGGAAGGAAGGAAGGAAGGAAGGTACCCTACAGCCAAGAGGCGGTGACTTGGGTCCTGAGGTCTGGCCACCCACCTGAGGCCTTTCCCATGGCAGATCCGAGTCCTATGGGGCACCTGCCTGACCCCGTGTATAGGGGAGGGGGGACTCATGCACTGGCTCAGTGAGCAGAGGAGGGACAAGTCGAGAGCAGGCTGCGGGATGCTGCCTGGGCATGAGCCAGCTTTGGACATGCCCCCTTGCTGCTCTGAGCAGGACCGGTCCCCAGACAGGCTGGCGTGGAGCTGCGGGACAAGCCTTCGCCAGCCCCCGGGCTGACGATGGAGGCCGCTGCTGCCTGCCCTGTGCCTGCAAGGGTCCTTCTGGCTGGCTGGGCCCAAGGGCAGTCTCCTGTCACTTTCTCAGAAACCAGCCAGACCATCAGGTGTGCAGCTGCTCTGCTCGGCTGCCCAGGAGCGCAGGACCCAGTCACAAGCACTGCGCTGCCCTTTCCAGGCACAGGGGACGGGGTTCTCGGTGTCTGTCGGGAGGTCCCTGGCGGGACGGGCTGTCACATTAGCCCCCTTGGCTGCCCCCTGAGTCCCAGAGGTCAGCTGGAGCCTGCCTGGTGCCCAGCCCTGAGGGTTCAGAGCTGGCTCTACAACTGGCTCCCCTTCTCATCCTCACCCTGGGTGGGCGCTCTCCTGGCTGCAGACCTCCGTGTCCCCCAGACTGCCTGGGGCCACCCAGATCACTGGAGATTTCACAATAACAGTGCTTCAGCCTCCAGGACCATGAGTGGGTCTCCTGTCCCCCTCCCCCGTCACACAGGGGTCCCCTGTGCCATCACCACAGCAGCTGTGGGAGAAAGGTATCAGGCCTCAAGGCACCCAGTTCTAGCAAAGAATGTGAATTTACAGCTTCTGTTTTCCCTCATATCCCCGGGGGACCCGAGTGGCGTTCCCCGTCGCTCCCCAGCCCCATCTCTGGGACTCACCACCCTCCGGGGCGGGGCTGGCACTGGGGCCCCAGGTTGGGGGAGTTGCTTCTGCAGGAAGAGCCCCCAGCTGGGCCCCCTGGCTCTGCGAGAACCCCACCCTGAGCAGCCACCCCTAAGGGCCCCCCCAGGAACTGCACCCCAAATGCTGCAGCAGCAGCCCAATGTATGAAAGGCGTCATCTCCACCTTTTTCAACAAGCACAAGGATATTTGTAAAACAGAAAAGTCTACTTTTATTTATTACAATAATAAACTATTTTACACAGACCCTCACATTCACCCGTCTGTTCCCCTCACACAGTTACAGAGAGGCCCGAGAGGGGCTGAAGGGGCTGGAGGGTCTGCCCAGGGGCTGATGGGAGTTGCAGCCCCATGTTCCTGGGCTGCAGACAGAGGCACCTCCAGATGGGAGCCAAACCTCGGTCAGCGCCCGCTGAACCCCCGAACACCAGTTTCTTGGGATGAGCAATTCCCATGGAGACCCACAGTTCACAGTGCTCCAGAGTTTGCAGGTGGAGTGTGGGGGCCCAGAGACAGCCCTGAAGCTGAGGCACTGGCCTGACACATGGCTGACCCAGGTTGGATTCCCGACACCCTACAGGGCCTCCTGAGCCCCCCGTGAGTGATCCTTGGGCACTGCCAGGTGTGGCCCTAAAAAAATAATTTTTTTTCAAAAAGCATGAGGAACACCTTGGGACAAGCATGAGTATCCAAATGCTCAGTGCTGACCACCTCTCCGAAGGGGCAGGTCCCTGCCAGCCCCAAGGACAGACCTACTGTCCCAGAACAGTGTCCAGCAAGCTGGACCGGCCCCAGGGCTACAGTGCCCGGGGCAGGAGGCCTAGCTTCTGCCCCACGGCCCGGCGGGGCCCCAACCTAGTGAAATCCATAAGGGCTCAGAGCAAATCAGGACTTTCTGTACCCTAGAAAGGCTCCTCTGTACTGACCACAGTCATGTGACTGGCTGGCGGGGAGTGGGGGGGAGGAGAGGAGCATCCCCCACCCGGCCATGCCTGCAGGCGCTGGTTCTGTGAGTCATGGGCTGTGGCTTGTGGCAGGTGCGAGCTAGAGTTCTCAGGCCCAGGGGGGCTGTCCCCCATTCCAGATTGAGGCTGAGCTCCCCAGACACTGGGGCTCTCCCAGGCCACTTCTGGGCTGCCACCAAGAACTGCCTGCCCCATAAAGACAGAGGACCAGGGCGTGAGCTCCCGACAGAACGAGGTTCTGGGACCTCCAAAGGTGAGGCATCATGTCCTCATGCCTGGACCCTGCTCCCTCGCCCAAGGCCCCATCAGATAAACAGGGAGCATGTGCTGGAGCTGTCTCGGGGTGCAGGACTGGGGTCAGTCCAGCGAGCATGTGTGGGCCCAGGCGATGCCCACGTGAGCGTAACAGTACAGAAATCCCAGCACCGACAGAGTCACCCAGGGCCAGCCTGCGGGAACGAGAGAAGAGCTGTGAGCAACATGGTCCCCAGAGGGCACCCTGCCCATCTGTCACTTCACTCCTGTCTCCCCCGCACTCCCGCCACCCCTGGCACCTGAGAGGGCACCCCCCTCCAACTGTTCTCCCGCACCCGGTGTGGGACAGGGCGTGATGAGGTGTGAACAGGGTGCAAACGGGGCTGTCAGCAGTCTGGGTCTTTGAGCCCTGGAGTGACATGAGCACAGGCCCGGACACCCCCAGCTTGGCTGGGGCCCTTCTGGGTCAAGTCAAACAAGAGCAGGCTAGGGTGCTGGGCAGCACTGTGAGATGTGGCTGACCCCAGTGACCCGGGAACAGGGGAGTCTGGCTGTGCCACCACTGCGGGCCCCTGCAGGAAGTGGCCCTCTCCCAGCTCTGAAGGGCACGGACAGCAGGCAGGGCCCGAGAGGCGCAGGCCTGCGGCAGAACCCTGGGAGTTGCCGGTGCCTGAGCACCCACCCCCAAGGCTGGGGTGAGAAGTGGGAGGAAGCGAGGGGTGTTATGGGAGCTCAGCAGGCACTGGGAGCCCACGCAACTGCGGGCAGGGTGTGGGTAAGGGTTCCAGAGCCTCCTGCCTTTCCCATGGCATCTGGAGGGCTCAAGATGAGCTGGATCCCCACCCAACCTTGGAGGCACTAGACATGCACCCCCAGAGGCTGGGGCCCCTCCCCCTCCGCAAGCCTCTCCAGCTGCATACTGAATGCGTCTGGGTTCCTTAGATCCGCGAGACCCCCTGTGGCTTCTGCACAAGGTCCTGCACCAGCTGCATCTACAAAGACCCTTGGGAGGAACCAAAGGCGAGGGGGTCATGTGGATCTGGGGGTGCAGTCACCACAAGCCGAGTCCCTCTGGAGGTGCCTGCCCGGGACTCAGGGCCTTGTGGGTGCTCCTGGAGCAGCCATGCTTAGGGCAAGATCTCAGCAGGTGTTTGGTTTTTGTTTTACTTTTTTTTGCTCTTTGGATCACACCCATCGATGCTCAGGGGTTCCTCCTGGCTCTGCACTCAGGAATCACTCCCGGCGGTGCTTGGGGGACCATATGGGGATGCTGGGAATTGAACCAGGGTCGGCTGCATGCAAGGCAAACGCCATACCTGCTGTGCTATCGCTCCCTCAGCTGGTGTTTGGTAAATGGGGGCGGCACAGGGCTAGCCCGGGGGTGGGGGCAGGTTGGGGGACCCAGGGTGCACAGAGCTGGGCGACAGGCACTCAGGGCAGAGAGAGGAAGGGGCTGCACTCCGCCATGCCAGACCACAGCCACCCTGGTGTCAGGTCACACTGTTGTCCACAGACAAGCATCACGCCATGCCAAGACCAAGCCGTGCCACCTGCCCGTGCCCTCCTCCCCTGCACAAGCCTCCCCTCACTCTGTCCCCTCCTGTACCTTGGACGAAGATCCGGTCCCAGTAGATCTGGCCCACCTGGCTGCCACCCAGGAAGACCAGGTTGGACAGGATGAGAGCGGCCGTGGCACAGGAGGCCAGTGCGGCATGCAGTCGGCGGCGAGCGGGGGCTGACAGCAGCCGGGCCTGCAGGGAAAGCAGGTCTCAATGGGGGACCCAACCCCCAACCTCCAGGAGAGTGTGGGCCACATGGTCCTTGCTGCTGCTGGAGCTCCCCGAGCCTGAACCCTGCATGTAGGTGCAGATTTGTAAGGGGGGGGGGGGGCTGCCATAGCTACCAGGCACAGATGCTGTTGAAACTGCTCCTAGCCTGGAAGTCTGTGGAGAAGGCTAAGATTAGAACAAAGTCATGCCAAGGTCAGCTTCTGAGCCCGCACATCTATGGGGCCCACAACCAGGAGTGCTGTGGAGGGGGCAGGAGAATCCATAAGGTCCCCGTGACCTGGGCAGAGCGCAGTGTGCCAGTGACCACCAACCCCCTCCAAGTACGAGAACACAGCTGCACCTGGAACCGGACCCCCAGAGGGGTCGAGCACCAGGACAAGAGCCCGCTCACCCCTCATAATTTCGGCTGCACTGAACTTGTGTCAAACCAGCTGGCTTTTCTGGGCAGGCATTTATTCCCATCTCCATGGCAACCCCAGCCTGGAAATCACGTGACCATAGGCTTGAGAAAGCTGTGGGGTGATGGTAGCCAGTGTGTGTGTGTGTGTGTGTGTGTGTGTGTGTGTGTGTGTGTGTGGTGTGGGGGGCCCCTTGTCCATGGTGGGCTGGAGAGCCTGGAGCATATGGGCGGTGGCTGCACCCACATGCTCCCATATACCTGACATGGCTCACAGGGAGCTGCTGACGTTTTTCTAAGTGGGAAGAAGCTAAAAACGGACAGGGGTGCTGAAACAGAGGGAAAGTTTCCATGGACCTTCTGGAAGCTTCCTTGAGAGGCTACACCCTATCCTACCCCAGAGCAAGAGATGAACAGGGTGGCAACTGTGGGACACAGCAGGAGGGTCAGAAGGGGGACCACGAAGAGGCGCCCCTGGCTGTGCACAAGAAGAGGGGCTAGGGCCAGAGAGAGCACAGCAGGGAGGGCACTGGCCTTCCACGCAGCCGACTCCGATTCCGTCCCCAGCACCCAGACGGTCCCACGAGCCTGGCAGGAGTGAGCACAGTCAAGGCATCCCCAAACAAACACAAAATCTAAACAGAAGAGCTGCGCAGCTTCCTAGAGAGGCTCCTTAAGAGTCATTCCAGCATCTGTGGCCTCTCCCCTGCACCCACCCTCCCCACCCTCACTCATTCCTGCACCTGCAGCCTCACCCCTATATTCATCCTCCCTACTGTCTCTGAAGCCACCTTCCCCCACACTCACCCTCCCCTGCCCTCACTCATCCTTGCAACCACCCTCCCCTGCCCTCACCCTTCCTTGTACCCACCTTCTCCTGCCCTCACCCACCCCTGCACTTCCCTGCCTTCACCCCTTCCAGAGTCCCTGCACTCGTTCCTGCATTCACTCCCAGATTCACTCATTACTTTAGTCACTGTTTAATCATCAATGTGCTCCATCCATCCATTCATTGCTAACTTAGTCCCTCATTCATCTGCTCCATCGCTCACTCACTGTCTCATTCATTCATCGGTCCATCATCTCACAGTGGCTGCTGTTGATTCCCGAGTAGATGGGACAGGATCCCCGGTTCCAGCCTCAGGGCCTGAACAAACATGGGTAAATGACTCTCCAAAGAAGGCCCTGCACTGAGCGGGAGTGGACAGACATTCTGGGCAAACCCAGTTTCTCAAACACCAGAGCTCTACTCTGTTCTCCCAAATGCTTGAACACCTGTCTCCACACATCTGGACTTGCCAGATTCTTCATGCTGCACGTAGAGGTTGAGGGGTCTGGACTCTCTGGAACCCAAACAAGCCCACAGAATGAAGGCCTTGGAGACCCAAGACTCATGGAAAAGCTGGTGAACCTGAGATGCAGGATCCTAGGCCCAGAGCATGCCTGGACGAGGCCCCACCTGACAAAACAGCAACTGGACCATCCACATCTCCAAGCTTCCCCTGTTGTCAACTCCCAGGCAATGGACTGGGGCAGGAGGGCAGTTTGGAAAAACTGTATGGAAACTAACTCAGCAGAGGAGAAGAGGTACATTTCCCCATCCCGGGGGTGCCACTTCTCTATGAGATGTGGGTGCATTTCCCCATCCTGGGGGTACCATCTCTCTGCTCAGATGTGAACTTTCTTCCTTTTACTTTCTTTTCTCCATCGTGGGAATTTGCAGGATGGGGAAATGTACCCCACATCTCATTTGTTGATCCTCCCAACCACTTTCTACCCTCATTAGAAACTGAGATGTGGTGTAGACATTTTATCACAAGTGGCTTATGTGAAGTCGGGGGAGACCTCGACTCTACTTGGGATGTGTAGTTGGCTCTATGTAGTCAGGAGAAGCCAGCGCTCTCTCAAGTGCTAATTCCCTTTCTCCTTCCTCTTGTTTCCCAGTTGAATATATTTTCACTATTTGCTTTCCGCCAGTCTCTCAGGTGATGCGAGCTGTGGGCTAGCAGCTTGTGGAGTCAGAGCTGAGCTTCGAAGAATCAAGCCACCCTGGATACATAAAACTCTCAGCAAACAGGGAAGGACCTGCTGGGGGGTTCGGTGGCCTCAGAGTGCAGACAGGCCATGATCACAAGAAACTGTCTGGGAACCAATTCATTTGTCTCCATTCCTGTTGCATGGGAAAGAACTACCCAAACACACGGAAGCCTAACCACTAAGACACAATGTATCTGTGTGCTTTTCTGAAAGACAGCCCTCCTGTAAGTGAGCATCATTTCAGAAAAAGAGCTGCTAGAACAAAGCCCATCACTGCAGGAATGTGACTAAGCCCAGATCATCACACACCATCCAGGTCAGTGTCACTGCCTGCAGTGGGACGAGCCCTCAGTGGCAGCCAAGATTCTGGGGTCTCTAATGGGTGAGGTGTCCCCAGAAAGGGAAGGTAGGGTTGGTAGAACCTCAGAGGTTCTGCTCTCCACTATCCCCCAGGCCAGCAACGCTCTCCTGCCAGGAGCACACGCTCTATCTCTAGAACAGGCCCCACACCTTGAACCTGAGGTCTGGCATGAGCCCAGCTGGGGCAAGACTCTCATCTGAGTCCTAACATGCTAGAATAAAAGGGAGGAAAGGTGCTTAACTGGTTGTGAGGCTTTTTGTTAAATAAGAAGGTGACATTTGGAGAAAAAGAAAAAACTAAACAAGGGGTGACCTGCACCAAGCTCGGTATACTCAAATTTGGGATAAGACAAACTAAGGTGGAGGTGGCAGCAGCTCCGTGTCTCAGGAACACTGCTCTAGATGTCACAAGTATGCACACAGGAAACGTGAGAGTCAGCTGTGGACAATGCTGAGCCACGAGGGTCTGGTCTGAATAGCTGAACTTCAGGGGCGGAACTTCCCCCCGCCCCACCGAAGTCCACTTGTATATTTATCTCATCCTCCATGGGCCATAATGATACAGGGATCCAGGCAACCAAGGTGCAATTACAGGCAGCACCATCTCCTTTTACACGCTAAGCTCGCCCCAAGTTCACACTCCAGGCCCAGCTCCACCCTGTGTGCTAAGCCCCGCCCCGTCCATTATACTAAGCCCGGACTATTTGCATACTAAGCCCCACCCCACACACTAAACTGTTATTTGCATACTAAGCCCCACCCCACCCACATACTAAGCCAAACCTATTTGCATGCTAAGCTCCGCCCCATCCCACATGCCAATCCCAACTATTTGCATGCTAAGCCCCGCCCCACGTGCTGTGCCAGCCCCGCCTGTTCTGCAGGCGGTGCCCAGTCTTACTCTATGTCTGGGCTCGTGGAGACTTGAATGGCCATGCTGGGGTCCACTCGTGACCACCTTCCTCTACCTTTCTCCCACCCAGTCTCGCAGGGTCCAAGCTCACCAGGCTGTCCCGCACACGCGGGGTCTCTGCCAGTCTCCGCACTGCGCCCTCCACGGTGACGCCCAGCCAGTTGAGCGCTGCCCAGCACCATAGATCATCGTGTCCGCCATGCCAGAAACTCACGAAGGCAAAGGTCAGTGCTGTGGACAGCAGTGTTCCCAGCAGGCCGTGCCGAGACCCGCCGGCGGGGATGTACACGTACCTAGAGAGAAGCCAGACGACTTCTGCAATTCTGCAGTGTTTGGTCCCGGCCCGTTGCCACCCCTTCTGCCTGGTCACCTCCTTGGAGGCGCCCAGCACCACAGGGGCAGCGCGATCAGGCCAGGACCGTAACTCAGCAGCCACTTGGGAATCAGGCCCTCCAGCCTGGTGCGGCTGGTCTGCTTCCCAGGCGGGCTGCCCACTAGCAGCCCATCCCAGCTCCACACCAGGGGCCACAACAACCCAAAGCGAACGTGACCCCAGGCACTGCGCAGCACCCACACTCCCACCCTCATTCTGTGTGTGGGGGTGCAGGGGGAGTATCTGAGGTGGGAGGTGGGTGCTGGCAGCAGAACCCCAGCAAGCTAAGGGAACACACTGCTCCTGCCCACTACTGCACGGGGGTGTCAGGGCACAGGGCAGGGGCCAAACCTGTCCCCACCTGCGACCACGCAATGTGGCGAGGAGGCCCACGGCCAGGCCTGGAAAACCGCTTCTCTGCCGGAAATGCCTGGACAGCAGCAGGCCCCTCTCCCTCCTGGGAGCCTGACCATCCTGGTTCCATGGCGCTACTGGGCCCCCAGCCCCCTCTACTACAGAACAGCCTGGGAACCTTCTGCAGCCAGGGCAGAGGGGGCCGAGTCTCCGCGGGCCTGAGTGGCTGCCCAGCCCTGCCCTAACCCGAGTTTCCTGGCCGCTAGCCCGTGTCCCCACCACCTACCCTGAGGATGCTAAGAGTGCTTTTGAGCACGGGCAAGGCAGGGGACACGAGGGCAGCTGGACCGGGGGGGGGGGGGGGTCAGATGCATATTACGGTGGGAAGACTCCTCTCACACGGTGGGTGAGGGGCGTGGACTCCAGGCTTCCTCCTCCCTCCTCATGCCTGAGCAGCCCACTGAGGAGTTTCAGGGCTGTGGAAGGGCTGCCGAGGAGGGGTCAGAGGCTGAGCTTGGACAGTCTCAGAGAAGCCACGATCACTCACACGGGCCAGAGTTGCCTGTGGGGCCAATCCAGGAGGGTAGAGATGCAGGGAGACCGAAGCGCAGTGCACAGGCAGCACTTAGTACTCAGTACTCCACGGGTCCCCAGAAACACCCTGCTGCTGGGTTAGGACCCTGGGGCTGCAGGAAGTTGTGACCACAGCAGAGGGTGTGGGAGCTACAGGGGCTATGAGGGATGGGCAGCGGAGGGGAGGCTGCGGGGGTACACGGGGGGGCATCAGGGGGAGGGGGTTTCAGGGCACATGGGGGCAGCAGGGGGAAGGGCTGCGGGGGACACAGAGGGCAGCAGGGGAGGGGCTGCGGGGTACCGGGGGCCGGCAGCAGTGCCAGTGACTGCAGCCTGCAGATCAGAGCTTGGCCATCCTGTGGGAGATGTGTCTAAAGCACTTCCATGTGAGCCTGGGCACCTGGGCAGCTCTGGGGCACCCATGTATTAGCAGGGCCTGGGGAAGCCAGTGGGACCTTGGGGGAGGGGCAGCGTCCCCATGTCCACAGCAGAGGGGCCAGGGCAGCGTGGGCAGCCCTCCCACTCCATGCACCTGCCCTGCATGAGGCCGCAGTCCCACCCCCCAGCAGGAGCACAGGGAGCATCCAAGAGCCAAGAGCAGGGTTCTCTGAGTGCAGGCATGGCCCCGGGGTGCTTAATACATTCAGCACCAGACACTGAGGGGCTGGGGCCCTCCCCTGGAGGAGAGGCTCAAGCCTTGGGGGTCTGTGGGGTGGGATGCAGAGATGGGGGGATCCAGCATACAGCCGGCAGTGTGGGGTCCAGGGGTCCACACTGAGAGCCCACCTGGATGCCTCAGGCCCAGCTCCTATGTCTACTGTGTGTCAAGCTCAGGGACAGGTGGCACTTTCTAGAAGGACAGCATGGGAGATGACACCCAGCTGATTTGGGACCGTGTACAGAGGAGCACTCACCAAGCACTTGCTTTTGGGGTGCAAATCTGCCCCCAGGGTACCAGAGGGGAAAGGGATGGAAAATTCCAGACCCAAGGCACTTTAGAGCCGTGCTTCCTCTTCCCTGTCCCCATGGCAACAGGACAGGCTGTCCCGGAAATGCAAATGGGGGTCACCAAGACTGCAGGTGAGAGCAGCATGTCTCCTTGGCCAGGTCTGAACCACCTCTGGGGGCCCAGGAGTGGGGACAGACATGACCCCTGACTCATCCCAGTCCCAGGAGTGCCTCTTGGCCCTGACACAAGGCAAGACCATGGGGCCTCCCATACCTTATCTCCCAGCAGCCCTCTCCCACTGTGCACGGGTCTTCCCCGGGGTCCATGGTCACCCCGCACCACCTCACACAGCAATCTGGACAGAGTCTTGGAGTCCGCAACTCCTGGGGGCTGGCCACAGAGTCAGGCAGCTCTGACCCCGGTCTGCTTCTGGTTTCAATACGCCCTGCTGTGCCCACCCACATCAGCTTCCCTGCCTGATCCAGACACCCATGAGGCAGGCTGGGGGCCAGCCCTGTGGGGACCCAAATTTGCACTTCCCTACCATCAGGGGCCCAAAGCTCATTGCCCGCCGCCCCCTTTTCAGAAACAAGATCGCCCAGTCCTCCTGAAATCTACCTTCTTAAAGTGAATGAGCAGAAAGTCCCGCCGTGTACCACACTGCAGATGCCACTTTTGGCACGTGGGAAGCTCAGGGACCACAGCTCCTGATGCCTTTGTGATTCCCCAGCAAGAAACATAAAAGTGGGAGCGAGCGTGTTCAGTCCTGCAACCCTGCAGAGACCCTCAGCATAAGCGAGAAATAAAGAGGTGGGGTGAGGGCCAAAGCCCAGACCCGTCAGGAACCTGCCTGGCCGGAGACCTGCCAACATGGGGCAGAGTCCTGAGCAGACGCCACCGGTTCCAACTCAGAGACCTCCTGGCCAATGGGAGCAGCCCCAGGGGCTTGTGCAGAGTGGGCACAGGTGTGGGCATGTGCACCCCACTTTCCATCACCGTAGCCCCCCACGGTAGGTCCCATCGCCTTCCCTGCTACCCAGGCGCTCTGGACTCGGCTTCGTGGGACATGGAGGGACAAGCTGACCACACACTGCAGGTAAGAAAAGTGGCCCAAGAGGAGCATGAAGGGGAGCACAGAAGTGTCAGGAGTCTCAGTTACCAGGGTCCGACAAGCTGGTGTCAGACCAGCCAGTGGCCTGCACAGGGTTGGCCTGAGTCTTCACACCAGAGAAGCTGCTGGGGCTGACCCACCACTGACAGGTCAAAGCTGAGGTCAGGCCGGTGTTGACAGTAAGGCCCCACAGAAGGGGTCAAGTGACGGGAAACGCTCCATCATCTCCAGCTCAGCTGAAGAGCCGACCTCTGCCCCCAGCCCTGCAGCACTCACAGGGACCCACAAAGCCCCGGCCAGTGCGTGGGGAGCCGGCCCAGTGCACCAGATCCCCACGTGTGCCCACATGGACCACAGATGGCTGGTCCCTGGCAGAGGGGGCCAATCTGGTCAGACAAACGGGGTTCATGAAACCTGGGGCTGGGGGCTACAGCTAGGGTGACCCCCAGGAAGGGATCCACTGAGGGGGGGAGGGAGACTGCGTGAAAGGCCTAAGTGTCCCCAGTGCCCTGAGCTTGGAGCTTTTTCTAGGCTCACAGCTGTGGAGCCCAGAGCTGCTGGAGTTCTGCCATTCCGGTGCCCTTTAAAGCAACACGCTCCCAGGCAAAACCAGCCCGGCCCCCACTGCGAGGGTTCAGAGAGGGGCCCCGCTCCAGGGACCACGGCAGGGACCATCACAGGGACTTGGGCAGGGACCACCACAGTGACAGCTCAGTGGGGCTGTGTCCCTCCCAGCTTCCCCGCGTAACCCCCCGCCGCTGCTTACCTGATGAGGAACTCGTGCAGTCCGACATCGAAAGTCCTGGTGGAGAAGATGCATCAGCCGGACGCTGGAGCCCGGGATGGGGCTTCTCGAGGCACGGGGCCCTGTCACACCCTATCCTCTGGGAGAAGAGGGCTCCCTGGGCCTGCCACCCACCTCCCCTCCAGTACTAGACCCCTTAGCACTGTCCCTCTGGTGGGAAACAGTGCAGGCAACAAAGGCCTCTGGTGGTTTTTTTTTGTACTTTTTTGTATTTTGTTATGTAACGTCTGTTGATTCCCATACCCGGCCATGCCCAGGGCTGCTCCCAGCTTGCATCTAGGTACTCACGCCCCACTCAGTGCTCTGGGGATCAGGCAGGGTTGGGATCAAACCAGGGCCTCCACCAGGCTGAGGCCCTTCTGGGGCCTGCTTCCTCCCTCTCACATGCAACAGGCTCTGGCCACACCCCCAGCTGCAGGCACCCGGGGCTCCCCTGGCCCTGAGCCCCCACCATCGCGGGCCCGTCAGTTCCTTTGTGCCCAAAAAGCAGACAGCCACGAAGGCCCGAGAGAGCAGCCCGCTACAGCGAGCGGTGAGGTCACAGCCATCTGCATGTGTGTGCTCGTGTGTCAGTACCTGCATACGTGTGCACGTGTGTTGGTGCATGCATGTGTGCGCACGTATGTGTGTGCAGGAGTGTGCACTGTGTGACACATGTACATGTTTGGCTTTCCTCACTTATCTTGCAACCGGATTCCATTTCCAAGAGATTCCCTGGTGTGGCTGACCTGCACAGCCCCTCCCCGGCCGAGCACTGACCTCCACATGCCCGTGAAGCTGAACGTGGTGCTGACACAGCGTGGCAGGGGCGGTGCCGTGAGCCCATCAAGGCGCATGAGCAGAGCAGGGACCCCAAAGAGCACCAGGTACTTCACATAGAAGAAGAGCACCTGGGCCAACGCTAGTCCTCCTGGAAGACAGAGGGACCCCAGGAAGTAGGATGCGCTGTCCTGGGACAGCTCCCTGCAGACAGGCACCCCTGGGCTCACAGACACTAGATCTCCCGTGTAACAGCCAGGCTCTGGAGCTTCCGGGGAAGGGCGCACTCACAGTGCGGTAGGGAATTCAGAACCCGAGCCGAGGGCCCGGGTGATAGAGTGGGGTTAAGTATGCGGCCAACATGGGTTCAATCACCAACACTACATATGATCTCCCGAACACTGCCAGGAGTAAGGCCTGAGAGCAGAGACTAAATCCTGGGCACTCTCTGGTGTGGCACCAAAGTAAAAAAAAAAATTAGTCTATGCCCATAGGGAAACGAGAACCAAAGAGGTGAGCTGAGGGGAGCAGGCTGCTGGGCTGAGGCAAACGGGGTGGGTGTGTGACCTTCTGCGCTGCCCATGCTACCAGCTCTTCACCCCACAGACACGGCCTCTCATCCACGCCAGATCTGGGTTTACAGTCTTCAAGAAAAGCTGGCTGGGTCTGCACTGGCTCTTCCCCCCAAGGAGGGAGCCTGCGATGTGCTTCCCTTCAGGTCCAGAACACCGAAGAGCCCCACGACTGGACCCAATGCTCAGAGGTGTCTGTCCACCTCGTCCACTTGGTGCCAGGAGAAGCAAGACGGAAAAGGTGTGACAACGGCCCGTGGCCCTGCCCCTTGTCGCTCCTCCCATTTCCCTGCCCCCAGCCCTGCCCTGTGCCCCGTGGCCCCCACCAGCGTCCACCCCGCCCCCTCGCCCCAGGCCAGCACAGCTCTAGGGATGGTTACCTAAGGTCCAAGCGGACACAGCACTCAGCAGGGGTGTGCTGCTGCAGATGGCGTGTGTGTACATGAGGTGTACCATGAGCTCCGCGAGCCCCCACCAGCACAGCAGGCGGCCCAGCCCCGCCGCTAGGGCCAGCAGGCCCACCCTCGGGGGTCCTGGCTCCTGCTGCTGCATCTGCAGGGGAGACAGGTATTAGACGGACACCCACCCCTTCCTTCTAGAAACTTCCAAACAGTCCCTGTGGCGTATGTAATCGACTTCCCACAACTCTGCCAGGGCCAGGAGAGGAAGGCAGGCAGGTGGCTGGGCACAAGGTCAGAGCAGACGAGGCAAAGTTCAGTACGAACTGGCTGCAGGCCCAAGTCTGCCCAGTGCCAAGCGCCAAGGCAGGCTCTGAGTCCCCTGCCCCTGCCAGCCACCAGCCCCCCTCCCTGCCACTGCCACGGGGTCCTTCCCAGGCTGCAAATTTGTCCTAGACAAAAATGCCCACAGCAATGCCCCCAGACTGTGGCTATTTTCTTATTGGGGTGGGGGGTGGGGGGCGGGAGGGGGTTAAACCAGCATTTGTGTCAGACTGCCACCATAAGGCAAAGTGGGCCAGAACCAGATTCTGCTTCCAGTTCCCGTCCAGAAACAGAGTATGGCCACACTGGGCTTGTCTGTCTGGCTCCTTCTCCAGGACATGAAATCAGCAGGACGGCCTCTTCCACTGCACACACCCCGTGGCCACCTCTCTGGACAGCACTCTCCAGCTGGTCTGAAACTTCCCCTGAAGCACCACACGCTGGGTTCAGCGTGAGGAGAGATGGTCGCAGTGGGCTCTGTCCTCCAGGCGAGCACTGCCCAGCCAGAGGCCTGGCCCAGGAACAGCGGGAGGGAGGGAAGCTGAGTCACGGGCGTTCCTTCACCCAAACCCCTGCAGCCTGGACTCAGCCTTGCAGCAGGGCTGGCTCCCAGTCTGCTGAAGCAGTTTGCGGGACCAGGCCCCCCCCCAGGGGGAAGCTGGCCTCGAGCTGGCCCCAAGGCCTCGGGGCTGCTCTGGGCCATGCACAGGGTGCGAGGCTCTTGTTTCTGGGGGTGGGAGTCATCCCAGAGGCCCTGGGGCTGTCAGACCACTGTGGGGCTCTGCTGCCCCCTGCTGGACTCCGAGGACCTTGCCGTGCACAAAGATCCTTACATCCCGATGTTCCTGCCTATTGCTCCTGCTGCCATCCTTCTTTCAGAGGTCAGGCCGAGTGAATGTCCCAGCTGAGGCTCTCCCGGGAATGAGGACACTCTCAGCCCCAGACTCCTATTCACGTCTAGTCCCCACTGCTCTTTTTCTTCCAGGAAAGTGGCTGCAGACTCGCCCGTCGGCACCGGCCCTGCAGCTTCCCGGCCTCCGCTCACAAGCTCTGCCCCAGACAATGTATCAGGGCCCTCCCTGGACACCCCCGGTCTCGGCCGGACCTGTGTGTGCACATGTATGTTCATGTGCTGGGTGTGTAAACACAGCCACATGTGTACAGTGTGGCAGTGACAAGTCTGTGTGCATGGACTGTGCATGAGACATGTATATGAATCATATATGTGTTCATGTGTCACATTGCTATTTAGACACCACTATGTGTGGTGGGTACAAGTGTAGACATGCCACGTGCGCAGGTGTGTTCTTGTGCAGTGTGCATGGACTGAGTTATGCACGTACATGTGTGGGGGTCTGCAGACATGTGCACCCATGGGCCTGCATTTACAAACATGGGTGCTGTGTATATGCAGATGTGTGTTCTGTGGGCCCAAATCTGGCCCATGTGTGCACAGCTCCCTCTGTACACACACATCCATGTGTGCATCAGGATGGGGGGGCTGAGCTCTCAGAACCAAAACCTACATCATGGCCACAGGGCAGGACATGAGAATGGAGGCTGGGGAGAGGATGTGTGAGACAGTGGAGGGGGCCCCGGCTTCACCCCAGGTGTCCCGACAGGCCCCTGCACCCACGACAGAGCTGATGCAGCTTGTGAAAGTCAGAGACCGTTCACAGGAGTCACCCGTAGTGGCCTGTGCAAAGCTCATCAAGTGCCCCAGCTTCCCAGGCCCCTCCCATCACACTAGATACCTGGGCTCTGTGGACACGGGACAGATTCAGGCCACACACAGGCAGGGAAGAGCCAGGGCTCAGGCCCGGGGCAGGCAGGGGAGAGCAGGGACCCAAGGCCCAGGACAGGCAGGGGAGAGCCGGGGCAGGCAGCCTACCTGGCGGAGGAAGCGCGGAAAGCTGAGGAAGGGGCCATTGTGGAAAGCCGGGTAGTAGAAGACGTAGGCCAGCACCCAGGGGAAGCAGTGAGCGCGGGGTCCAGTGGGCGGCCGCCAGCAGAGCTCCAGGCTGCAGCCGGTGCAGTGCAGGCAGCGCACGGCCAGCGTGAACTGCAGCAGGTAGAACTCGTCCTCAGAGCCATACCAGCCTCGCTGCAAAGGCACACGCAGGTCAGGCCTGCCAGCCAGGCCCTCGCAGCGTCCCGTGCCCCGCAGAGGTGGGGGAGGGGGTACTGCCTGGGGACTGGATGTCGGCGCCATCCATGTCACCAGGCTGGGAGAAAGGGGCCCTCCCACCCTGGGCAGCCCCAAGACAAACCACACAGGCCTGTACCACCCCACGTGGCCACCAGAGAGAGCCCATCATGGTTCCTGCATCCACCTTGCATGGCCACCAGGAGACCCCACTGCTGGCTCCTCCAGCACCTGTGCCCCCAATGTCAGCAGGTCCAGCTCCCCTGGAAGGAGACACTTGCCTTGACCTGATCCACATGCTCCAGCCGTAGTGAGGACAGCAGCAGCAGAGCACTGAGCCAGGACAGGAGAGGTGAGTGCAGCTGGGCCACGCAGAAGGCCACACTGGCATACAGGACCACCATGGCCAGCCCCGCGGCACCCAGCACGCACCAGCAGGCCCAGGCTCCGTAGGTGGCAAGTACCCAGGGCCGGAGCTGGGGGACAGAAGGGAGAGATGGGGACAGAGCCAGGCACACCCCCCCCAAGGGCCCCTCACTATCCAGCATGTGGACATGACATCCACAGGCCCCCTGGCACCCAATAACAGCAGCTGGACTGGACCCAGAAGGATCCTCTCTCAAAGTTAAAATGACTGCAGATGCTACTGTGACAGTGACCGCTGCCTCATGGACAGTCACCATAGTCCCAGACAATTACCACAGCCTCTTGGAGAATGACCACAGCCCACAGACAGTGACAACAGCCTCACAGTGACCACAGCCCCACGAACAGTGACCACAGCTCATGACAGTGGCCACAGTCCCACGGTGACCATGGCCCCACAGACAGCGACCACAATCCTGCAGATAGTGATAGTGACCACAGCCCCACATATTCCCCTGCCCCACCAACCACACTACCCTCGATGCACCCCCCTCACCTCCCCCTGCCGGGGGACACACTGCAGCCCCGAGTCCTGCTGGCACCGGCCTACCTTTGGGATAAGCCAGCTGGCGAGCTGGGACGTGGCCATGTGGCCCAGCAGCAGCCAGGCAAGCCGCCGCCGCCCCCACTCCATCCAGAAGCTCCACTCAAAGTCAGTGGGGTCCTGAGCAGGAAGACGAGTCAGGGGCAGCCCCGCTGGGGCCCCACCCCCCCGCCCCGCCCATCGTACCCTCTTGAATCCTCCAAACAAGGTGCCCGGCTCCAGCTCAAACTCCAGGTCCAGCTCGGCGGCGTATTCTGTGGAGGCAGATTCCATGAGGGCAGAGAGGCAGGCAGAGGCATGGCCAGGCACTGCCCACCAGAGCAACTGTCCACCCCGCAGCACTCCATCTCCTGGGAAGGTTTCCTGGGGCCCAAGCTCCCAGACAGACACACGTATACGTATACATTGTTGGGTGTTAGGTGGGGTGCTTTGGGGATTGCCCCTCTCACAAAGAGGTCAGGGAGACGCAACCAAGGGGAGCCAAGGGTGAGGGCCAGCGCCCCCTGCTGACAAGATGCTGCAGAGCAGAGTGGGTGCCCCTGGGAAGGGGCTGGCGGCTGAAGAACTCCCACAGGGCAGCCGAGCGGGCGGGTGGGCAGGTGGGCGGGGGTGTGCAAGGCACAGCCGCAGCTGAGCAGCCTGGCTCCACCCTCCAGGTTACCCAGAGATGGGCCAGACAGACTGATGGACCAGAAGCAGCTGGTGGCAGGTGCAGTGGGCAGCAGTGCTGGCTGAAGGAGCTGTGTCCCAGGGACGGTGGGCGGCCACCTCCTCTCTTCCCACTGCCCGAGCACCACAGGTAAGACAAGACCCACAAACTACAAGCCTGAGGCCCATGATCCTGCACCAAGACCAGGCCATGGGAGAGCGACCTTCCTCACCTCTGGAGACTTTGTACACCTCCCGGAAGGAGTAGAGGTGGAAGCCAAGCGAGGCCAGCAGGTACAGGCCCAGCTCCCAGCGGGGCACCATGGCTGCCCCACCTGCAAAAGAGAGGTTGACATCAGCAGTAGCCACCGATGACCCCTCCTCTGGACAGAGTCAGGTCACATGTGCCATGTCAGCAGGCCTTGCCCCATGGACATATGCATGAGTGTAATGCACACACATGTATGTGTGCAGGGGCCAGTACAGTGATATCCCACTGTTAAGACAGTACAGTGGGACGGGCACTTCCCGACATCCCATATGGTCCACCAAGCACCACCAGGAATGATCCCTGAGCAGAGAGCCAAAACTCAGCCCTGAGCACTGCTGGCCCTTCCCTCCTAATGTTTTTAAACATGTATGCACACATATACATGTCTATACAGAAGGAGCACTGCATACAGAACTGTGCATATTCAAACATGTACACATGCACAAGTGAGCACAGCACACACTCATACATGCATGCCCACAAGTGTACATATGACCACATGTACATGCAAGTGTACACATAAGCTTTGGTGTGTGTGCATATACATGTACATGCATGTGTTCACGTGTGCATGCACATACACATGTGTTCATCGCTGCCTCCTGGCCCCACCAGCATAACCAGACAGCCCAGGCTCACCCAGACCTCACCTGGCTGAAGGGCCTGGGACAGCAGGGCCTGCAGGCCAGCCCCGGGCATGGGTGTCCCCCACTTCAGCCCACAGCCATCACCTCCTCTCCAGTCCCCTCTACCTGCTGGCTCCGCATTCTGGGCAGGTGTGGCAAGGGGCTGGCTCAGGGCTGTGGCCTGGCTCCACCTCACCTGTGAAACCTGCATAGAACTCCGGCCCCAACTCCGTGTATCCCTGGAGCTCCCCTGGGTACAGCTCTGGGTACCCTCAAGCTCCATGGCTACTACCAGGATCACCTGCCCAGGAGTCCCCCAGGCCCTGCACTAAAGCCAGCCCAGATGGCCAAGAACCTCAGAGCCCCTCAGATCTTCCCGCCACTGGGAAGATCCCCAAAATCGACTTCCCAGGAGAACACAAACAGTAGCTAAAGCCTGGGGAAGCAGAGGCCAGCTGGAGGCTTGGCCTTCCCTTTCTGGAACCTTCCTTCATTCTGTCACCGAAAGACAGATTGTTGAACCCAGAGCTAGTGGAGGGGGGAAAAGGGTGCGACAGGCGGTAGTGCCCGTCTAGCATCAGCTAGAACTAGAGGACTCGGCTCCACTGCCACTAAGGCTACCAGGGCAAGGGGGAGAGAAACTGTTCACGTTCTAGCTCTCAGGGAGGGACACCTCCAAACTGCTGCTGCTGCCACTCACAGGCTGAGCCCCCGACCGGGATACCAGGGGGCAGGACAAGCGGGACGGCCCCCGCCCGGCGCCGCTCCCTGCTTCGGGAGACTGGGGGTGGGGGGATGGGGGGTGGGAGCTGAGAACTTTTCCCCATAAACACTGATGCCTCCCTGTGGGCGAGGCTTAGAAGAAAGGAGACACCGAGAAAGGAGAGAAACCAAGTCCCCAAGACAGGAAGCGCCAACTTGGGCTGGTCCAGCTCCCCGCACCCGACCGCAGCTGACTGACCATAAGCGCCCACCGCAGACTGCCCACCGCAGCCAACCCCGCCTGCCCAAAACATCCCGCCCGCCAGGCGCCGCAAGCCCAGGCCTCGCCCCGCGGCCCCGCCCCGACGGCCCACAGTCCCGCCCCGCCCCCTGCCCCGCCCGGCCAGGCCCACAAGCCCCGCCCCCACCCGCCCGGCTCAGCCTACAAGCCCCGCCACTTTCCCTCCAGACCCACAGGCCAGCCCCGCCCCTTACCCCGCCCCCTGCCCCGCCCCACCTGGCCCACAAGCCCCGCCCCCACCCCGCCCCGCTAGGTCCACAGGCCCGCCCCGCCTCTTACCCCGCCCCTGCCCCGGCCCACCAGGTCTACAAGCCCCGCCCCTACCCGCTCGGCCCGGCCTACAAACCCCGCCACCGTCCCTCCAGGTCCACAGGCCAGCCCCGCCCCCCTACCCCGCCCCTGCCCGCCCCACAAGGCCCGCCCCCGCCCCGTCAGGCCCACAAGCCACGCCCCCTCCCCGCCCCGCCAGGCCCACAGGCCCGCCCCGCCTCTTACCCCGCCCCGCCCCGCCAGGCCCACAAGCCCGCCCCTACCCCGCCCCGTCCACAAGCCCCGCCCCTACCCCATCCCACCAGCCCCACCAGCCCCGCCCCTACCCCGCCCCGCCTACAAGCCCCGCCCCCGCCCCATCACACCAGGCCCACAAGCCCCGCCCCCGCCCCATCCCACCAGCCCCACAAGCCCCGCCCCTACCCCGCCCGGCCTACAAGCCCCGCCCCCGCCCCGCCCCGCCAGGCCCCGCCTGGGCCCCGCCGCCCCTTCCCAGAGCCGAGCTGCGTGGGGGGGGGGGCGCACGTAGAAGCCGGCGGAAGCGGAAGGCGCGCGCTTCCCCGCGGCCCGCGTGGCCCCGGCCCGCACGAACCCGGTCCGCGCCCGCCTCGGCCGCGCAGCCGCGCCTTCACTCCTCCCGCCCCCGCCCCCACCCTCACCCGCGCCCCCCCTCCCGCACGCACTTCGCGGCTCCCGGACGCACCTCACGGCCTCCTCGCAGCGGCCCGCGCGCGCCCCCGGAGCGCGGCCCCGGCCAGGCCCCTCCCCGGATCCCCGAGGCCGGCGCGGGGGGCGGTCCCGGCCCGGGTAGCGCGCGGAGGCTCCGCCGCCCCGGGGTCGCGACCTGCCCGGGTCTCCGCGCTGCGCCCTTCCGAGTCGCAAGGGGTCCGCAGCCGCAGGCGTGAACACCGCACCCTGGACGCCGCACGCCACACCCGCCGTCCGAGGGGTCTGGCGGTTCCGGCGGAGCGAGGGCGCCCAGATCTCCCTGGTGGCCCGAGCTCGATGCGCCCCTGCCTGCGCTGCCCCGCTCATCCGGGACCTGGGTGTGGGTCAGAAGCACCCGTGGGTGCGCCAGGTTGCCCCGGCAGACGCGCAGGTGCTGAGCAATGTCGAATTTCTCAGTCACAGTCACAGACTCGCCCCAGGACCATCCAGTAAGGTGCAGGTGCCCCCCGAGGCCGAATTTCAGAGAAGCCACCGGGAGGCTTTTAGCCCGAAACAGTAAAAGCGTGCTGGCCTCGGGCGTGGGGCTTCCGAGTCCACGTTCTAAGCTCTTGTCGGTGCTTCCAAATCAACCCATTCTCTTGGTAGAATCTTCTGGTTGCAGCCCAGTGCACCCCGAGAGGGCCGCATCCGAGTGCTGTGTACACAGCACCCTGCGAGGGCCACCAAACTGCTGCCAGGCCCCCCGAAGGCGAACCCTGTTCTGTGTTCCCAAGAAAGTCCGGCAATGCTGGGTTGAGCATCCGGTGGGAACGGAGGGGCATAGGAGGCCACTGTCCAGGGCGTGCAAGGCTGTGCGGGGAGGGGGGGACGGCCGGCACTGGACATGTCCGGACTCGTGCAGCCCCACGGCACCGCTGCGGGCGGGTGAAGGGTCCGGGTCCGGCCACACCCTGGCAGCGAGGTGCGGTCGCTGAGCTGCACACACTCAGGGATTCGTGATGGTGGGAAGCTCCCGAGTCCCATCCGGGCTGCAGCTCCACCTCCCCACGTCCCCAGCCTCGCTCCCAAGGGCCGCTGTGGAAGGAAGGCGAATGGCAACTGGGAGTGGAGGCGGGCTAGCACCTCTCTACCCGGGAACAAGGTCCTCTGTGTCTGTCCCGCGGGCGCTGGGCCAGGGTCACCGCGGAGCCGAGGAGGCCTTGACATCACTTCCTCTGCGGGCAGCCCCGAACCCCTAACGCCTCCACCCACCCATTCTCCACCCTGCCTGCTCCGGGGCGGCCCCCCCACCCCTCCTCTCCTGTCCTGCAGCCTCCTCCAGCGCCACTAGGGGACAGCACAGACCTGTAGAGCCCAGAGGCTTCAGCCAGTGTCACTCACTGTGGGTCAGAGACACACATAGGAGGCAAGCACTTCATAGCATCCTCCCCACAGCTGTGTCGGCCCCTTCCCCAGACTCCGTGTCCTATACTCTGGCCCACTGCACACACAGGGTCAGGCAGGGCACAGTCTCCTGGGGGAGCTGTCAGGGGAGAGTCCCCCTGCTCCACCTCGTGATGCAAGGCTGGAGGGACCCACCAGAAAGACATGCTGTCCCTTCACCTCCGCTGAGGGCATCACTCCGCCACAGCTCAGCGCCTCGTAGGGCCCGGGGTTTGCTGCTGTTTGGCAGTACCCTCAGCATCAGTCTGGACCCGTACGAGTTCTGCCAGCACATCTTTCAAGGACTGGCCAGGACATGTTGGGTAGCGGCCCCTTCTGGGGACATGCAAGCTCAGATGAGGAGACTGAGACAGGCTATGGGCCAGCAAGTTCTTAGGATCCTCCTAGAATCAGCACCCAGGGAGCACCTTGTCCAGTGCTCAGCACCCAGGGGGGAGTGGTTTGGGGACCGGTGGGGAATGATCACACCACAAATCCCATGGGGAAGTGGCATTGGGAGCCCCTTAAGGGCAACACCTTGGAGTCTGTTGTCTTTCTCACAGGGTGCCCAATCTTCCTGGCACTCCAACAACGCTGCTTAATAAACCTGCAACTTTCACCTGTCCCTAAGGAAGAACAAAAGCAGCCGCTGGAGGCCAGTTGAGTCTCAGCCGCGCTGCCATGGGCGGCCTGTTGGTGGGTTCTCTCAGAAGTTTATGCAAAGTACCGCTGACACAAGGGCCTGTTGATACTGACCGTCCTCAGTCCCAAGGGACACACGCTACTGCCAGAACTGTCCCCGACACCCCTCTTTGTACCCCAAGTGCCCCCAGAGCCACGGCCTGGACCCATAGGCCCCCTCAAAGAACACACTGTTGCAGCATCCAGCACCAGTGGGTGGGACATAGAAACAACCTCACCTGGAGCCTCAGCCACAGCCCCTGGGCCAAGAGTAAGTCAGACAAAGATCTGGGCTCCCCAAGTGTGGGCCCCGCAGAGATTAGCTGGGAGTCAAACCAGTGGCTCAGTCTCAGTGACAAGCAGCCTTGACAACTCTGCCAAGGGCCT